ATTGCTAAACTAGGAAACAGAATCACAAAGACCACAATCGATGTTGTCATAACAAACACTTACTCCAAGTTTCTTTACTGCAAAGTCCTTGATGATTGTATAGGAGATCATCAGGTCGTAAAGTTCATTGTCGATTTCAATGTGCATAAGGCCTCAAAATTCAAGAAGTTACTAATAAGAGATCACAGCAAAATGAATGTTACTGCTCTTAAAGAATTTTTGGAAACTTGTGATTATAGACCAATAATAGATTCAACTAGTCTGAATGATGCAGTTGATGGTTTAAACGAACATATTGATCACTACTATGATCACTTCAGTCCAATTAAACAAATTAAGTGCCATAGTGATTACATCCATAAGCCATCTCCAGAATTTTTAAAAAGTAAGAAGTTGAAAGGGAAACTCTACCGTAAAATTTTTAACACACAACAAGAACAGACGTATACATCCAAATGGTCTTATACACTGTAATAAATGTGACTCATTATGGATGGCATATAAACGGCAGAGAAACTATTCAACCTATTTGTCTAGAATTAATAGGAAGACTAACTTAGCAACAGAACTGAAAGCCAAGTGTGCCATGAATGATCTAAAGGGTGTATGGAAAACGATAAAGACAGCATCAAATCTGCCTGTTAAAGCTAACAATATCAATAACAATCTTGATGCTGAAACCACCAATAAATATTTTGCTGAAATAGGTCCAAAGATCCAAGCAGAAGTGCAGCTGGAAAATGAAAATGAATTTCTATCTTATCTACAAAATGAGCAGATTGACAACGAGACCAGCTTGAATAGCTTTACTGAAATAACTGAGTCCAATATCTTAGACTATGTGGCAAGTATCCCTTGTAGCAAATCCACTAATGATCATATACCATTGAGAGTGTTTAGACAAATTTTACCTGCATTTATTGCTCCATTAACACATCTTGTAAATTTGAGTTTATCCAGTGGCATCATGCCAAACAGCTGCAAGGTTGCAAAAGTCACCCCAATCCATAAGGATGGTGATACTGAGAATCCTAGTAATTATCGACCAATCTCAATTTTACCGATTCTTGGAAAGTGCATCGAATTTTGTGTGAACTCCCAACTGACTCAATATCTTGATGAAAAGGGAATACTTTCAGAGCATCAATATGGTTTCCGTAAAGATCACTCTACAACTTATCTCATGTTAGATCTGTTTGATCGTATATTTACTGCTAAGAACAGTGCCAAGCATCCTGCAATTATCTTCCTGGACATCAGAAAGGCATTTGATACTGTTAACCATGATATTCTCATTCAAAAGCTGAAGCATTATGGAATAAAAGATACTGCATTGAGCTGGTTTAGGAGCTTCCTCACAGATAGATTACAGCAAACTAGAGTTGGGAGTAGGATAAGCAGTTTACATTCATTGAATTCTGGAGTGCCTCAAGGAAGTATATTAGGACCAATTCTATTCAGCATTTTTATCAATGACCTGCCTAATGCATGCCTATTTTTCTAAACCTTATCTATTTGCTGATGACGGTGCATTATATTTTGACAATATATCTAGAGGAAACTATGGTAACATCAAACAAGAGTTGAAATTAGTTATCAGATGGCTTCAGGCTAATAAACTATCCCTGAATAATGAAAAAACAAAACTAATGATCCTTGACTCTAAGCCTAACCTTGATGCCATCCTTGTTGAAATTTGTGATGACCTTACTTTGGTAATCTGTGAAACTAAATCCCATAAGTACCTTGGACTTATAGTTGACAGCAGATTGACATTTAATGAACATATTGATAACATTAAGAAAAAGATATCCAAAAGAATTGGTGCTATGTATAGATCAAAAAAACTTCTCCGTCTTAAGTTCAGGAAGATGTTTGCTAATGCACTTATGTTGCCACATTTTGACTACTTAGACACCATCTGGTCAAGAACATATAAAAAACGACTAGGAGAGTTAGATATCATGTACAAAAAGGTTGCTAAAATAGCCCTAGATGTAAACATCAGAGAGAGGTCGGTTAATGTATACAAAAATATGGGATGGCTTCCTCTCCATTTGAGACGACAGGTTCATCTTAGCTCATATATGTACCGTATAATCAATGAAACATGTCCAAAGCATTTTATCGGGAAATTCTCGTATATTTCTGGTGGATCACGTGAGGCAGAAAACTGCAATCTTTATACTCCTAAATCAAGATCTCACAAGGAGTTTAACTATCTAGGAACTAAGGCCTGGAACATATTACCTAAGTCCCTTAGAGAGTGTGACGACGTTAAGAACTTTTCTAAGTTATACAAAGAAACTCTTATGAATATGGTGCTAACTGATGAGAATTACCAAGGGGATAACTCTTACGATAAATTCATGATCCCACCCAACACTAGCCAATGTATCTAGGCAGTTATGTTATTTCGGTTAATTTATCTCAGTGCATAAGTGAATCCAATCCATCCCCTGCAATCAAAGTATTTCCATGCCTATTAAGCTATTACAGGAAATTAGGAACATCAGTGGAAAGGTGCACTGTCAATCAGTATTGCTTCATACCTCCAGTCCTCCTGTTATGTGCAATTCTCACTGCTATGTATGCTCCTCATTTGTATCAATTATATTGATGCTACATTGTTATTGAATATGAAATAATTTTCAACCGTATTAATTTATTAACTTATTGTAAATAGCAAGTTTGACAAAGGGATTACGTTTATTTTACCCGGAGTTCGTTTAAGTTTAGTATTGTAAATAGTTAATTTGACGAAGGGAATACGTCTATTTTACCCTGAGTTATGTTTTAGTTCAATCTTGACACAATTTTAAAATTATAATTTTATTATTTTATATATATGTATTGTCCATAACTAGGGTGGCCTGCTAACAGAACCATGATCTGCCTTGATTCATCCTTCAGCACAGAGAAAAGCTCCTTTTTTATACATTATGATTACAGAGGATCTGATATTTAGATATATATTGCTGTGCTGTAAAAATTGACTTTATTTATTTATTTATTTATTTAGCCTCATTCAACCGACAGACCAAGGATCACGCACTCAGCGTTTCCCTTCCATTCCATCCCTCCCTCTCCAAACCCATCTCCAAGATACTCGGACAACACGACATCAAAGTGACCCACTCATCAGCAACTACTCTCCTGTCTCCGCGACCTCCTCGCCAAGACGAAAACCACACCGCCCACTGAACTCACTCCTAACACCTATTCGAGATATCCTGCTCTCAATGCCCCTCCAAGTATACCGGACAGACCTACAGACCCCTGATCCACCGCATGAAAGAACACGAACGATGCTTTCGACGAAACCACAGACAGGATCAAATCCGCCCCCGCCCAACATGCTTTGACCACTGGACATTCCATCTCCTAGAACAACATAGAAGTCCTCAAATCCCTTACTACACGATCTCAACTTGACCTGACAGAACACGCTGCCATACAGATAAGACAACCCTCCATGAACTGAAGTCTGAACTGATCGTACCCCTAAATGTAGCTCACTTTGGGACCCCATCCTTCGTAAGATTGCTTCATCCCTAAAGACCAGGCCATCAGGCATTTCCTTTTCATCTACCTCAGAAGCCTAGTTTTTAATTTGAATGTTACTGTAATGTAAACTTAAAACATTTTCCCATCATCATCATCATCATAATCCATCCTTTCCACTCCACCCTTGTACATCACACACCCCTCATCATTGACACCACTCCATCATATGTAATCACCCCTTCACAACATCATCCCTAGCTGAAGACGATTTACACATGTATTTTGAAAGCTCCTGCTAAAACAAACTTCTCGTATCTCTTATATGTTTTAAAACAATTCCCCCTCCGTCTTTATTAATTTCTCACTCATCAGTTAAGATGCGTTGTTTGAATTGGTAGAGACATGTGATCGCATGATTTTTAAATTGAAATTGATAGCTGACTGGTGAATGGTGGGCAATTTAAGGTATAGGCTGCAGGTAGAAAAATGTGTTTTTAAAATCTATGGTTTAATTTAATTCTTATCGAGATGTCCTCATAGTCATAGGCCTGGAATGTTGTTCAGCAGAAAAACGGGCCGGGCTCCGTCTACGCATTCAGTTGACTTTTGCTCGAGAATAATACATTTGGCATTAGACTTATAGATGTTTATCGAAAATAAGCTAGGGGGCAAGTTATTTTAGTATTGGTTCCGGTGATAGCTAGAAGTGGTCCTTTGAAGAATATAGAAGATCTAAAATTACGGCAACCATATTCCTCCATCCAGTCAGCGCTACTTACATGATCGGAGCCGTATGTTGGCATATTACTGGTTAGTAAGTGAATAGTTTTCTTATCGAGTTTGGCACTGACACTGTGCAGTGTGCTGGTAACTTATCGTCTTTATAGAAGTAGTTCACTTATCCTGGCATGACCATTCTTACTCCTTGTTTCTGTTTGTTAAATAAGGATTCAATACGTGTTTTTGATGCGAAACCCCTCACGATTGAACAGAAATTCAGATGCGATTGTAAACGCACAGAAAGTGGTAAATGCCGTTTTATTCTGTACATAATATTAATACCCATTTACCTGGAAATCTTGACTTTTATAGCGGCAATGTGTTTCGACCAGTTTAAATTTTAATCTAAGATTACCCCGAGAAAGCGTGCCTCTGTTGGCGTTACGCGGCCTATTTTAGTTCCCGCAATTATTTAACTATCTTTCAGGAACAATGTAATTTGCCAAACATAATTCAATACAATTTGACTAGATCTGATCATTTAATCTATCAAATAAATGCAAAAATAAACCTTCATTTGAAAAAATTAGCACGAATATATTTTGATTTGATGTATTCCTCGAATGAGTGGTGATAGTAATAAGTAAGTCATACCAGAAAGAATTATCTCAGTCGGGCACTCTGCTCTATAGGTGTCAAAATGTAAAATATCATGAAACATGCTATGATACAGTAAATATGTTCAGCAAATTAACAGAACGTCTTCTTTGCAGAGAGTACGAAAGATGGGAGATCCGAACGATGCGGGTTCGGGGGGTTGGCTTGGTAGCGTCGGCACTTACATCAGCAAGTCTCTCTACTGGTGACACCCATGTCGCGCTCTAACTGGAAACTAAAAATGTTGTAAACTTGATATTGTATCCCTCATGACCTATGAAACTTTACTGTTTGCTGATTATCTCAGATGGCATAAGCAGGGGATACTTCTACTACTACTACTGCTACTACTGCATAAGCACACTGTTACCTAATTCATTCATAGCCTGATTTTTTCTACCTTATTCAACCGCTAAATAGTGAAACTACAAATTCTATTTGATATGGAAATATGTATGTCTTCTGCATAGTAAGACAATACTAAATGATAATATCTGCGTCTTGGCAAGGGCTTGCATCGTGACCTATAAAACCCACAATCTTATGACGTTAATCTTAAACTGACAGACAACATTTTTCAATCTGCCGTTTTCTGACAAAAGTGCCTAAGTCCATTTCCTCATTTCAAGTGGTTCTCAAAAACAATTTTTTTGTGTGGAAACAGTGCGCTAGATATGAGGTCATTTGGGTTGGACAGTTTTGGACAGTTTTGTTGAATCGTCCGATAAAGACACGTTATAATTCATACGCCAGTCTTTAAGAGAACTATCCGCTGTCTTTCACATTCATGAACCGTCACGATTAAGGACGGCTTAATCATCACTAACAATGATTACAGTAAAACTTGATGTTGTCAACGATTCGAGAATTCGACCTTCAAATTTCGTTTTGAAAGATCCACACTTAATATCAATAATTCTTTTTGACATATCCGGTTGCCTGATGAAATTAATTGGAGTGAATTAGTCAATTAGAGTGAAACTTGATGTCAAATTCCTCATTATCGTAGACTTTATTTCTGAAAGAGTTTTCATTGCTAAGATAAAATAAAGATAAGATGTTTGTTTGTTTACTACTGTATGTTAACAATACGCTATATTTTTTAATTGAGGACTTTTCTAAATTTTGTAGTGATCTAGAATTATTGGTCTCTATATTATAATTCGAAAGATTATGTCTGTCTGTACGATCGCCCACGTGCAAATTATATGAGGAATAGTAAGTTGGGTAAAAACCAAAGGTTGCACATTGCATTTGCATAGCAACAGTGTTGTAATGCGCACGTGCAAAGATTTTTGGAAGGGTATTTTCATCGATTTTATGGTAATTACGTTGTGTTTAAAGTGTTTTACATTTAAATCGGCTGTATCTTCGGTTAAGATAAAAATTTTGATGTGATTGAAACTTATTTCAAAGAACACTACTAGCTTCATACCTGTTACCGCGGGCTTTCTAGTTTCTAGTAGTAGTACTTCGATAAATTTGTCTTTTTACCATATCTTATCACCAATTATAGTTATACGCGAGACCACAAAGAAATTCAATAAGCCGACCAGGAAAATGGGAAGTTAAATGGGGCAACTCCGAGGTGTAAATCCGCCATGGTTACTTTTATTTCGTCCAAATATCTTTGCATTAAGTCAAAATGTAACTATACGAAAATGAAATGCGTAAAGTACGCATTAATACCTTAATTGAAATTAGTAATAGAATTAGAAAAGTACCACGCCACACGCGCGTACTATACCTTGACCCATTGTCAATTGTATTGTTAATAATAATGGTCTGGCCCGGCGCGCGCTACTTTGAAGAAACTTAGACGAGTAACATCCGTCAACACGTTACCTCAGGTTCATAAACATGATAGAGATCAGATTAGGCAGAATGACAGGCTGAGCGCGGCCCAGTAATCAACACGTACCCCCTAACGAGAATAAGTAGACTAACTTCCTTATTATACCTTCATTGTTCATATCACGTGATCTGGACAGTTTTTCGCCAATATCTCGTTCCAATTTTAACCCTATGTCACGGGAGGTGATTGACTGATTCGGAATCAGCGTCAGCAGTCAGACTTGTTTAATTACTATACTGGGCGGCGCTCAGCCTTGAGCCTGTTATTATATTCTGCCGAATCTAATTTAACGGGTGATACTCCGACTAGTAAAATATCTGTTTCATATATATTACGTCCAACTCGGCGCGCGTCCTGGTAGGTTGTAAACCTACAAAATCTAATGCAAATGTTTATGAAATTTATAGCCTGGGGTCCCCAGGTAACTTTATTGTGTATTGTCAATATGTCCTCAGAACGATTGGCGAATCCTAGTGCCTATATTGTATATACTAGTAAATGTATCATGTATGCATATGTACAGTTTGCAACTTTGAAATATTGTGAACTAGTATTAGTAAGTACATGTTGATGACATTTTAAATTAAACAATTAAAACAATTTACTGTGAACGGTCAACGGAACAGAAACTTAATATTTAATTAGATTGATTTTTTTAAAGCTAAAATTCCAAAGTTATTTTGAAGCGGACGTACGTGGTTGTCATGGGCCTTCTTTGCGCGGTGAACATACTAAATCTCATCCCGCCGAATCCATATGCAACATTTAAACTTTTATTTTGGTACATTGGCAATGGTCGTTAAAATTAAAGAGCACTAATCTAAATTCTCAATATTTAATTAAGTCGTCTTGCCCCATAAATCTTATAGTAACCCTTTGGGGCTGGACGACAGTTCTCATTTTTCGTCAAAAAATTCTAAGTTCACATTTAATTTCCCAAATCAGCTTAGTCTCATATATCAAAACAGAATGTCCAGCCCAAGTTTAATTTACGATGTGATCAGTTAATCACTCTATTTTGTTAGGTTGAGCAGGATTCCATGATTCAACCTTGGGTTTGGTAGTAGTAGAAGGAGTGTAGCGCTCGTGGAATATGGGAGTCATATTGGCCCGATGTTCCATGTGAAACTTCCTCTCTGCCGGAGGGTGGGTGACGGGAGTGTGGTCCGTCATGTTGTGCATCCAGGCATGCCACTCCGCCGGTATGTCTGATGCGTCGCTCTTCATCATTAGCCAATTTGGTTCTTTGAACTGGACCCACCTGTTCCTGTTAATAACCATTTGTCAACTGTGATAAAGAAGTATTTAGAAGTTATTTGCCTAATAGAAAGGTACATAATACATATATATTATATGTATTGTACACTACTATTGAATACTAAGAAATAAGCGCCTTCAAAGCTTCAGCGATATGTACAATAAACAATGTTCATAACTACAACTTGTAAACCAGCACTAATAAAGCAACTCCCCCCGCCCGCCCGCCCGCCCGCCCCCCCCCCCCCCCCCCCCCCCCCCACCGCGCCCCTTACTAACCTGCCAAGAAAGTAGTCATTATTCTCGTAGTATTCGTTACCTTTGTCATCACTACCCACCAGGCTACCAAACCGGAACTCGTTACAACAGACATACTTGTTAACCGTGTAGTAGAGCGGCGTACTTGCCATCTTCTTGAAGAAGCCAAGCACTGTACCTATATTACCAGACATACTGCTGCAACGTGTTTAGCTAGAGTTGAATATATGTTATACTCCCGACATACTGTGCTCAGTATCATGTAGACACAGATTGCTTGTGTTTTCAGCTTGTTGTAAGCGGTATTTTCATAGAGCTTGCTCTTTCGCCACAAGTTAACTTTTCAATAAAATTTCACCATGTTGAGTACCAGTATACTATATATCAAGTACCAGGCTTATCAAGCAGAATACTGTTCTCTTTAACTTTAAGATACGCGAAACAATCGTTAGCATTTAAAAAGCGGCCGCTGGTTCTTATAAATAGAAACAATAGCTTTGCATGCTACAAAGAAATGAAACAACGCAATATGTACAGATACTATTCATGATCAATCAGTATTTACATATTTTATATTCATAAATATAGCCTCACATACTTGCATATATAATGTACTCATCTGTTTATCAATAAATTACATAATACATGACTGTGAAAAATGTGGCGAGATCGCTGTGAAGAATTATTTTCTAACAAATTTATAAAAATTCTATCATAATCTTTACATATCTTTATTATATTTAATATTGGGCAATATTATATTATTTTATATTTTTATTAACAAATATATTTACATACTCACTGTTCTGTGGTTTCAGTAAAAAATTAAACAACTCTGCTCTAAAATCTCTAGAGTGTCGGGGTAACGATAGAGATAAAGCAAGCAGGTGACAATATGTGATAACAAATGATCCACAAAACCACTATCAAGTCTTATCATTGGTCGACGAACTAAGGTGGTGGTAACTAGGGTGGTGGTAACTTGGGTGGATTCCTGATGTGTGATGTGAATGATCGGAACCTGAAATGTGATTGATTGATGGTTTTATTAAATGTATGGTAACTATGCATATGGTTACAGTATATATTGAAATTACAGTAGTAGCAGATCGTAGTTGGGATTGTTTAAAACCTCCTTTTTATGCATATGATTGAGTGTTGTTATAAGATTGATTATAATGTTAGATAAAAGTGTGTAAAACAGTTAGTTTGCTACTAGAAAATATAAAAGGAAGGATGAGTAACCGTTTAAGAAGGAGAGGAGTGACAGGATTCTTGCGAGGAGAAGTAGTTTGTGGTGGAGTGGAGTGGATTGAGTGGTGTGATTGTTGGTTTTGTAAATCTAACCATTGTACTTCTTGTTCAGCAGCTGTGTTATTCACGTATCAAGTAAGTTAGTTTCAATTTGTATTGTGACTGTAAATATTTGTAAAAAATGAGTATACAAATATAAGAGGAATTCTGGATCACAAAATCTGTTTTTTATCGAGTATGCGAAATAGTTTAGACGAAACTGAAATTATACTTAATAAATTGGTCAATTTGAAAATTTGACGCCAGTAATTTTGAGATAATCTCACCAGTCATAACAATCTTAGAATGTTTAAAGTAAGATTGTCAATAACAAACATGCCATTCTAAAGGTGGAGGGTCTTCGTTTGGTAGTCCAGTATCTGGTCTCCACAAAGTAAGTTTTAGCGAATAATTTTACGTTGAGTAGCTAAGTAGAATATTCTAGAAGTATTTGAGTTTCAAGTTTTGTTCTCTCCTTGTTTACCTGTTTCTTGTATTATCTCCGTCAAATCTTTAATGTAAATTTGTATCTTTTGTAACTGTTGCTCGGTTGTCTCTGACGCCTGAAAATTTATATTTTCCTTCAAAATGTCGCATGATATGAAGGCACTATACCAACTTCTAAAAATGCTTTGACCTTAAAACTTTATTAACTTTCTGGTGCAAGTAATAGTGGCAATTAAAAAAGATCTCTTTTTTTAGTGAAAGAAAGTGCTAAAGATTGAAAATATTCACTAATTGCTAAACAGTGCCAAAAGGAGGAGGCTATGAGCCAGAGAAATATGATCCCTGGCTGTGAGCCAGAGGAATATGATCCCTGGCTGAATTTCTAAAAGTTAGCTATTCCTACGGTCAAGTTAATCCAGGCATGCAAATGGCTGCGATGCTATTTATTAGTTCTGTTTTGATTGTCATGGTGCGTCTACATGCGAGACAGGTAGATAACTATTAGTTGTCTCTAGGCAACAATGCTTACTACCTGTAGGGATCACGTGTTGGGTCACGTGTTGGGTCACGTGTTGGGTCACGTGTTGGGTCACGTGTTGGGTACTTAGTACCCAGGGTACTAGCCTACCTCTTTATGTTTGGACTAACATTCAGATTAGTATGCAATATTGCATCATGAGAACGTTTCATAGTATAAGAAAAACAGCATAAATTATGATATTTTCTAAAATTTATGCCATGTGTCTTTAACCCCATCTTTCTGCAAGTTTCATGTAATAAAAGTGTTAACGTAATTAGGATATAGTCTATCACATACTATATTGTACATATTAGTATTACGTTAATTCAACAAATAATGGGAGCAAAGTGCTCAAATAATTGAATGTGACAAAAGTAGTCCCGTAATTATTGTATTTTGATTCGTGTAACCGACGGTTGACCAAAGTATGACCAAAGTATGGTAATTTGCTCAATAGTCAATAATATATAATTATAATCAATAATATATATCATGTATTATAATGTTCAATAAAAAAGGTAAAACTAAAATGAGAAAATGTCTGACCTCAGCTTTAGTTCTCATTTGTTTATGTATGAGCATGAAAAGGTTGTGTGTGGCCATCTTTATTCTGCCCAGTAGTAGAGTTTGTCTAGCGGCGGTGTTCTTAATGTGAGTCCACACACTCTCCCACTTTACTGCTGCACTCTGCGCAGTCTCTAGCTGCATCTGAAATGGAACAATGTTAGCAATACCATCTTCAAACATGTATTTTAGGGTTTTTAACTTAAATAAATTGCAAGATTTTGATTCTGCATCTTTTAACAGGGCTCTTCCTTATTTAACACTCAATTTTCTGATCATTCGGCTGAGTCGACTGAGGGGACATTACACAAATGACAAATGTGTAACTTCTCATTATATATCCAGTTGATTGAACTGTTTCAAGAAAATGTATGAATATTGACCGTAAATTTTAAATACAGCACAATAGTAGCCTGCTTTCTACAACTAGCCAACCTGAAGAGCTGAAGGTTGGCTAGTTGATTGTTGAACCTACCTGAAGGTTGGCTAGTTGATTGTTGAACCTACCTGAAGGTTGGCTAGTTGATTCTAGAACCTACCTGAAGGTTGGCTAGTTGATTCTAGAACCTACCTGAAGGTTGGCTAGTTGATTGTTGAACCTACCTGAAGGTTTGCTAGTTGATTCTAGAACCTACCTGAAGGTTGGCTAGTTGATTGTTGAACCTACCTGAAAGTTGGCTAGTTGATTCTAGAACCTACCTGAAGGTTGGCTAGTTGATTGTTGAACCTACCTGAAGGTTTGCTAGTTGATTCTAGAACCTACCTGAAAGTTGGCTAGTTGATTCTAGAACCTACCTGAAAGTTGGCTAGTTGATTCTTGAACCTACCTGAAGGTTGGCTAGTTGATTCTAGAACCTACCTGAAGGTTGGCTAGTTGATTCTTGAACCTACCTGAAGGTTGGCTAGTTGATTCTAGAACCTACCTGAAGGTTCGCTAGTTAATTCTAGAACCTACCTGAAGGTTGGCTAGTTGATTGTTGAACCTACCTGAAGGTTCGCTAGTCGATTCTAGAACCTACCTGAAGGTTGGCTAGTTGATTGTTGAAGCTCATGATGTCGTTGTTTTTCTCCTCCACGAATTTCATAAGGTTAGCTTTTTCCTTCTCCAGTCGGTCCTGGTTATCTATCTCCCGGTTGAGTAGGTGTTGATGGGTTGATACCAGGGTGTCGTACCTGAGACATATCTGTGTAAAATAAAAATTGCGAAAATAACGAGAATTCCACTACTTTTCCTCCTGTGTGATAGTGAAAATTGTAATAAAGGTGATAATCCCTCTACTAAAAGTATTGGGTACCTAAGGATGGCGTCTTTGTTCTCCGAGAATTCGTCTGCTGTCTCCAAGACTCTATCCATGTATTTTTGGAACACCATATGTTTGGTCAGCTTAATTTTCTGAACTTCCAATTCGTGTTGTAGATGCTCTGTTACAAGAGTTTGCTTAGCTTTAAAACCAACTTAAATTGCGTTCCATAAAATTATCGGAACACTTATGATACTAAAGCTGGGCTTTTCCAGCCTCTTCTTCATTAACATGCTGACTAAAATAGATAATTTTCATAACATTTTAAGATAACTAACTGGCTTCTTCAGATAAGGCTTCGATCTCTCTCATTCTCTGAAGTTTAGCATCCCTTTCAACATTTGCCTTCTTGACCGCTCGATTCTTTTTTGCATCATTCTCCTTCAAAAACTTGTCAAACTTTAATAATGATTCTTTGAGTGTATACTCCTTCCGTTCAAGTTCCTCTCTCCGTTGCTGGATCGACTCCATTTTCATTTGAAACTCTTCTTTTTGTGCATTTAATGCCTGGCGAGAAAACAAATTACTAATTAGTCATAAAGTTTAAAGTGTTCTTTTTTTAAACTCGGTCAATGAAATAAATCACTGATTGTGACTTTTGTTCAATATATGCATTAAATGATAGATGACGGAAATTCGCTGTGATTACTGTCATCCATTATAAGGAATGTCTTCTATAGAATTTAGAAAGAAAGCAAACTTTGCAAATACCTGTTCAACTTCCGTCATCTCACGACGCTTCTCCAGCAGTCGTGTTGCTGGAGTGAGGTGCTCATCTTCTCTTTCTGGTAGCTTTACTAGAAGCTTGTCCTCGAACGTTGTACGAAAATACTCTTCTAATGAAACTGGCATGCTCTACTATTTAGAATGTCTTGAGTCACAATAGTAAGACAGTTCAAATATTATCATGTCAAAAAGAACACGGAGAAACACAAAGAACACTGTACTCTAGTGTATAGTTACTCACTGAGAAACACAAAGAACACTGTACTCTAGTGCATAGTTACTCACTGAGAAACACAAAGAACACTGTACTCTAGTGCATAGTTACTCACTGAGAAACACAAAGAACACTGTACTCTAATGCATTATTACTCACTGAGAAACACAAAGAACACTGTACTCTAGTGCATAGTTACTCACTGAGAAACACAAAGAACACTGTACTCTAGTGCATAGTTACTCACTGAGAAACACAAAGAACACTGTACTCTAGTGCATAGTTACTCACTGAGAAACACAAAGAACACTGTACTCTAATGCATTATTACTCACTGAGAAACACAAAGAACACTGTACTCTAGTGCATAGTTACTCACTGAGAAACACAAAGAACACTGTACTCTAGTGCATAGTTATTCACTGAGAAACACAAAGAACACTGTACTCTAGTGCATAGTTACTCACTGAGAAACACAAAGAACACTGTACTCTAGTGCATAGTTACTCACTTACTCACGGTACTTATTATAATTATCTATAGAGAAAACTGAGAAATTGTACTTTAAATGAATCGCAAGATTGAAGTAATACCGCTAAATTTTGTCTAATGTCTTATTTCAAAAGTATACTGTTTATTTTATAAACTGTCAAGATTAAAGTTTTCATAACAATCAAAAAAACGAATATTTACTGGTCAAGATTTAAAAAGCTTTACTTTAAAGTCATAAATAAGTAATGAATTTATCTCTGAGTAGTCCTCCATCCAACAGAAGTTCTAGCAGACAGAAACATATTATATGTTAACTCATAATCTTTAAGATCAGATTGGCTGAGAGATGGCTTAGTATTTGATATAGTTTCCAGCAGAACTTCTTGGTTGAGAATAGCGGGTTTTTCATAAGATGCTGCGATGGCCTTCTTAACCAGGCTGAGCTGGGCGTTGTATATTATTGCCTTGATATCTGCACCTGAGTAAAAAGCAGTTTCAGCTGCTAAAGATGATGTGTTTATATTAAGTTCTCGTTTCATATCCCTTAGCAGGCAGTCCCAAATTTGCACTCTTTCACTTGAACTAGGCATGGGACAAAGTACTCTTCTACCTATTCGTCCAGGGCGCAAAATGGCCGGATCAATAGCATCAGGACGAGATGTGGCAGCTATGATAAATACACTTTCATGCTTTGACACTCCGTCTAATTCAGTCAGGAGCTGATTCACAACTCTGTCCATAACTCCGGTAGAATCATTTCCTCTGCAGGGGGCTAATGAATCAAACTCATCAAAGAATATCAAAGTTGGGCTCATTTCCTCCGCATTTCTGAATAAATTACGAACAGCCTCTTCACTGGCTCCGATATATTTATTGAGAAGCTCAGGCCCTTTAACAGTGAGGAAGTTCATATCTAGTTCATTTGCTATTCCTTTTACTATAAGAGTTTTCCCAACACCAGGAGGTCCAAATAACAAGAGACCTCTGTTCAGCTGAAATGGGATTTGTGAAAACAAGTGAGGGTGTTTGAAAGGTAATATGAGCATTTTATTAATCTCTTCTTTGACATCCAAGAGTCCACCACAGTCTGACAACTTCAGATCACCAGTCATAGGCTTTATTTTCTGCAAATCAAATAAACTGCAACTCTCATCAAATTCCTTTTCTTTATAACTGTCAGATCTGCAGATCGTCTTTGATTTGAACATTTTACTTAGCTTCACTATCTCGCCAACACTCAAATTAGAACGGAGAGATAATTTGTCATAAAGATTTTTGAGAGCACCCCTCTCAACTTTATTGCTGAGCAGATTTCTTAAAAACGGCAAATGCTGTGTTACAGGTAGCAATGGTAGTGTAAAAACAGTATCACTAGCATCCATAAGAAGTGGGTGACAGGAAGATAAACTTTGGCAAGAGAAAATTATCTCTACATTATTCTGTTTGTAAATCTTAAAAATGTTGACAAGCTTTTGAGCTAAACGTATCCCAAAGATCTCATCCCCAGAGGGCTCTTCAGTTTTTGAACGAGCTGGTAGAACTGAATCCAGGTTGTCAAGCAACAAAATGGCAGGTTGACTAAAACAGCATTCACAAAGAAGATCAGTTATTTCTTTAACAACATTGTCTACCCGTTTCCCACGCAAAAGAGTTACATTACTATATAAAACAAAAAAGTTACGAAGACGTTGATCACAAGTCAATCGCTTGAGAAGGAAAGTTTTTCCAGCCCCATAGCATTGTGTCTTAGAAGAGAGTAGAGACAATGATTTCTGAGAGAATGGGAACGATTGTAGAATTTTGTCAACTAATGATTCATAAACAATTCCATGAGGATTAGTGCTGTCATCAGAATCACACTTTTCAAATTGAAGATCCTGCTTCTTTACAATTTTTGGGGTGTTTCCTTCAGTAGAGATATCAATCTTCCAGCCATGATTATTAGCATCAACAATTATCGAGTAATCTTTCACATCAGAGTCAAAAACTGGGGCATCAAAAGGAGGAACATTTTTCAATTGTAGATCTATGCTTTCTTTTTGATACTTAGGTCTCAAAAAGCTAACAGTAATTATTTCATTCAGATTAAAATAGTAGGACAGTATTTGATCCGCCATGACTGTTGAGTTTAATGGTACCACAAGACATTTTAGGCAGCAATTCAAACTGCAGAGAATTTTGCTGGAATTCTCTTTAGATACTTTACACACCAAAACAGAATGAATACTAAGATTGTTTTTAGAACAGAAGCACTTGGCACTTAATTGAGCATCATATGAGTTAGATGCAGATGGATTCCAGCTGGACAATTTAAAGATTGCAGACGAATTTGATGAAAAATAAGCATTTGGCGATTTTTGTGTAGAACTTGAGTCATTTAAGGAAACACTGACTTTTGTGTAACTATTGAGTATCTTCGCATTAGATGGTTTAACACTGGTAACATTAAATTGTATACTAATGGATGAATTTATAAATCCGATAACAGGGTCCCCTTCTTTCACAATTTGAGTTTGGTTCATAAGCTCCTTTTCAATGAATTCTCTATGAAGACCTGCAATACTGTAATCAGCACTAGAACAACTCAAAGTGAGATCAGTAATAGGGATTAAGTTCTCGATTTCATCAAGCATCACTAATCCCTCACACAGGCCAAGCAACCTACCATAGGTGCTGTTTAACCAAACCACACTTTCATCTTCAACATTGTCTTCTTTCAGAGCAAAGTAAAATTTTCCATCAGAGCCATTCTGTTTCAAGCCAACACCATGAGCTTCAGAAGAGCTGCTATTCGTGAATGTTGTATAGAAGTTCCTTGAGCAGCGGAGAAAGCAGTTTTGACCAAAGTCAAACTCTAATGAGACATTTATCATTTAACACCTGAAATAAATGTTATGACCAATGTTATCACATTGAAATCCAGAAGTTAACAGTAGTATTACAGACAAATGTGACAGAAAAAATTATACGGGTAAATGCCTCACAGAATGGCTAGCCTCACAGAATGGCCAAATTTGTAAATGTTTTTGTAACTAATTTTTTATAAAAGACTGGTAGGTTTTGTGGATACCATATGAAACAAAAGTCTTCTGGCAACACTTCCTGTGGTGAAATCATTAACTAGGACCACATTTTCTGGCATAAATATGACTGTTTATGTAGAAATTTTGAGCACTGAAAAATTTGTTTTCAAATTTTTGAACTAAGTTTACATTTTGGTGAGAACTTCTGGCACCAGTATGACAGAAGATGTTCAAAGAATAGTATTCATCAAACAAAACGAACATTGTTCAATTTAGGAAGAAACAAAATGTTAAAATGGCTAAACGCCTCACAAAATGGCCAAAATATGCCTCACAAAATGGCCAAAATTTAAAACTCCTTTTATTCAATGAAACCATAAGTCTAAAGTATTCACAAGCTATTTATCATACAATAACACCCCAGATGGAGTGTTTTTACAGCCGAATGAAGGTTATAAATCATGAAATCAGGGAATATGAACAACGCCACACAAAATGGCCATTTTTGGTGTAGGAAATTATGCCCTTTTTATTCAGTTCTAAGAAATTTCACCTATATGGGGGTGTTAACAAGGCATATTAATACCAGCAGCATGCCTGAAACAAGAGCCAAAGGTTTTAGAAAAATAAAATTTTCTCGTTTTCTTTTTTTTTTTGCCATTTTGTCAGGCATTTTTTCTTTTTTGTGAAATAATTTTTCACAGCTCAGTTTTTTCGTGAGTTTTAGGTTATTACCCCATTCCTTAATAGGTTTTCTAAGAACGTGTGGTGATAGAAATTTAAAAAGTATCTCCATCAACAAAATTATAGAAATTCAGATTTGGCCATTCTGTGAGGCATGTTTTTTTGGAGGAAGATTTTCCGGCCAATTTTTCTCAAAGAAAAAATGGTTATGAGATTAAATGAACCCCCGGGAAGAAAAATATGAGTGTCAACTTAGCTTCTTATGAGATGAAAACTGGAATAAAGTGTGTTTTGTGACTTTGAGAGACCTTCCTTTTTTTGGCCATTCTGTGAGGCAAATACCCGTAATACAATTGTGTTATCCACTGCAAAAAGCTAGAGCACAACCTTAAACTGTAAGCTTGTAGATATGTACAATACACACTAGTGATGCCGATCAAATATTATAATGATAATGAAATCTTAAGATAACTAGCGAAACGTTAGTTGCCTAATTTTAAGTTTTTCATGTTAGCAGACGTGTTACTGAGGGTGCAGGATGTAAGTGCTATGAGTATATAGAACCAATTAAAGTAAAAAGTAAAGTAAAAATTATGACATCACATCATCACAAATGTCTACAAAATATCATAGCACTATGTAATTGGAAAGGGCATTTTTAGATGTAAGAGTGTATCATTGCTCAAGCTCCTTCTTACCTGTAGGCTATTATGCTCATAAATAGAATAGAATAGAGATTCGGCGGAATGACAGGCGCAGCTGAGCGCCGCCCAGTAAGCTCCTTCCAATAATATAAAGCCCTTGGATCTCAAAAGGTTATTCATACTACCAATGAATCAAGAAATTTCAATGAAACAAGAAATTTAATTTTAGCACATTTTACAGAATAAAAAGATGTAAAACAATTCATAAAATATAATGCCCATTTGGTGTATGACTTTTTGTCCTTGACTGCTAGTTTGGTTTTGGAAGGACAGGTAACTAACGGGGCAAGGAATGCGCATGCCTGGAAGCTTTTGCACACACTGAAACGCTAGTTCAGATAAATTTTTAGACACAAGGCTCACATTAAGACTAGAAGAAAATTTGTTAGAAGACATGAGGGGTTCTGTTTATAGTTGTTACTATAGGTTGCATGTGCAGTCTTGTTGTGACGAAAAGTCTACACTAAAACATTCTTTAGTTTATATTGTGTAGTTCAAGGATATAAAATGCAGCTTCAAGGTGGATATTGGAGAGCAGGTGAAAGATTATGGCCTTTGTATCAATGGTTATAATATACCAATGAGATGCAGAAGAAAATTATTGTTGAAAAAAAAGGATTGTTGAAATTGTAGGTGAAAATTTACACCGATAATATTATCAAAGACAGGTAAAATGGGAAATGGGGCCAACACTTTTTGAAAAGCTTTCTGATAAGCTATCTAGAAAATCTGGCCAACAATATAGCAAGGCGATGATATTTATCAATTAATAATAGTTATGTTCTACCTCTTGACAACCACGTTCATCGTTTTAATTTAAAATAGTATGGAAGAGTAATAGTTTGCGGCACCACGCTGTGCGCGACCGACCATATCGTGGCTTTCGTTGCCTGAAATGAGGATTGCGTCACCACTCACCAGGCTAATAGTGTTCATAAACACACCGAAAATTCGGGCTGGCTTGTTGTTGTGCATAAGCTAGTTAATAACCCGCACTCCGATAAAAGCCGTCTGAAGAAACTCTTCACCTAGCCATTTTTACTAAAAAAACACTTGTTTCACCGGTTTCACAAGTAATATTCTGTGCCACCTTCTGCGATTTACATCTTGGTGACAGTAACTGTCACCAAGATGTAAATCAGATCGAATTGAGACGCCGTTCGATCTTATTTCTCGTTCGATCTAATTTCTCGTTCGATCTAATTTCTCGTTCGATCTGATTTACATTTTGGTGACAGTAACCTTCCTACACAATTTGGACATTTTCGTGGCTAATTTATTGAACCACGTCAAATTTAATATGTCTTAAAGAATTCGATAAGTTAGCTTTTAATGTACGCTTTAGTTGTTAGTTCGGAAATGTTAACCAAACTCTTTTTATCAGGTGTGCGCCGAACCAATTTTTCTAAGTATTGTCTGCTTTTGTATATTTTGTAAATCGCAAGCGTAAATTAATTTATTAATTTATCACGTGTACACATATCACAAATTATTTTATTATAATTTAAAAATTTGATATCTGTGAAATGTGAAATGGTTGTAGGTTTATAACCTACCAAGTTGCGCGCCGAGTGGGCATGGACTCGTCGACGAAACAATTATATTTTACGAGTATCACCCGTGAATGGAATAGTTAATTTGACTTTAAATATTTGAACTAAATATGAATCTTGAATTGATTGTGGGTATAAAATAAAATTTCTATATTTTTTTTTGGGCGAGCGAATTAGTAAAAGCCCCAGTTTTAACCAAAATCTTCGTCTCGTGAAACTAAAGTTAATTATTCGGGACAAGGTAGGTTTTGAGTTATCCCAAAAACTCTTATTTCGGGCCGAATAAAAGTTTACTGATTGGCTGAATTGTGTCACATGCAGCTTGGACAATAGAATTCGCCAGGCCACAGGCGCGAGCAACCAGTGTACTTGATGTCGCGCCCGAGCTCAAACCGGTTGTTTAAAAAGCGCCTTTAGCAAGCGCGCCCTTGCTCTATCCAGAGCCCTTGCGCTTGCAGTAGCACGCGCCCGCCTCACGGCGGTAAAAAGGACTTTTCTTGACTTGTGAAACAAGCGCGCCCGCAGTGGCGCGAAAGCACATGGTTAGGTGAAAGCGCGCCCCGCCAGTCGGTAATTCAGTATAGTAAGGTTTTCTGAATTTCTGAGTTACCCGTTAACGGTTACAGGTAATTTAATGGTGATACTCGTAAAATGTTTGTTCCAAAAACATTTGTTCCAAAGATCACCGTCAACGAGTCCAACTTTGATTATAAATCTACAAACGGTAATCCGCTAGGGAAATATTTTAACTATATTATTGCTTGCTCTAACCAAAGCCCTTTCGCTTGCAGTTGCGCGCGACCGCCACTTGTGAAACAAGCGCGTCACGCAGTACGCGTAGACACATGGCTATGCGAATATTATTTGTTATTGCTACTTACAGTTACCTGGTTGTAGGTTTATAACCTACCAGGACGCGCGCCGAGTTGGACTCGTCGACGGTCCTAATATTTGAAACAAATATTTTACGAGTATCGCCCGTTAACTTACCTGGGAATCCAGTGCGCGCGAAAAGTGGCATGCAACGTATGTCAAGGAATCCCAGGCTATTATACTTGTGTATTATGGTGTATACCTCTTATCTATTTTTGGCTTGTGGTCGCCGCGCAAACCATTGTTTTTTTGTCAATTTATCTTCCGTCGATCATATCTTCAGTTCATGGAGTGAGATCATTTTGAAAATTTGTAAAGAACTTCCAGTTGGACTTAAGAAACTTCGGGAAAAACTTGGAAGATATCGGAGTTGATATAATGATATATGGAATAAAAGATGTTAACGGGTGATACTCGTAAAATATCTGGTAGGTTGTAAACCTACAAAAAAAACCTACAAAAAAGATGTTGCTTTGAGTTGTAACTTTACATATAACCTTACTGGGCCGCGCTCAGCCTGTCATTCCGCCTAATCTCTATTCGGTTGTTTACCAACATTAAAGCCTGGGGTCCTCAGGTAACATATAACCATGAGTCTTCGTGTACTACGTGACGCGCTTGTTTCACAAGTAAGAAAGACCGAAGACGGCACCTCTTGTGTGAGGGCTCTGGTTAGAACAAAGTTGTACCACTATGTCTGATGATTAGATATGCTCATACCTTTTCTCAAAGTTTCATTGTTAGTCTATAAGTAAACTAACCAAATTTTTAAAAGATTGGACTGAGGAAAGGATACCAAATATGTATTTGTTTCAATTTCATATCAAGAAGTTTGTGCTGGCCGAAATTACTATTAACAATTATTTGTTATTAGCGTTTAAAAACTATCCTAGAGTCGGTACGCGTTGTAGGTTTACAACCTACCAGGACGCGCGCCGAGTTGGACTCGTCGACGGTCCAATACATGGAACAGATATTTTACGAGTATCACCCGTTAAGGTACGCGCGGCTCACTGTCGATGGCCTAATTGCTAATATTATGGGTGTTTGTTTAAAAAGCACTACACCTTTTAAAAATAAAAATTTCGAATTCCCAGTGTAGAGTGATTTGATTTTAGCACGCTCGTCTAGGCAAACTGTGTAACCTAGATTGCTGGTCTAAGGCTCGCTTTTCTCACGTATTAAAGACAAAAGTGAACGAATACGTGCGGAAGGAAACGGATACAATGATTTCGATCGAAGACTCACTTTTTGTTTTTCCGAACGTTCTTAAATCAACTGAGATGTTTTCCATTTAATTTAATTGGCTGTTGGGAATTACCAAAAATTGTGGTTTTCATCCTGATTCCGAATCACCTTATATATATATTAAGCTTACATGACACAGCGTTTATTGGCGAAAACTGTTTCAATTACGTGGAATGGAGAAAGTTAATTTCTTGTATCAGAGTTTTGGCAGATAATATGCTTGAGTTTCCCACCTAACTAGCTGGTATATATGATATAAAATATGGCTGGTTTTATCTTTCTCTCTTGCTACACGTTGCATATCCCTTTCGTGCACGTCAGCCGCCGGCGCGCGAAAAGGGAAATGTACCAATTTTGAATTTCACTCTCGTGTGATAACCACTGTAGGTAATGGTATACAGAGTGTATATATATATATATACTGTAAGTATATATACATTATATAATATATTATAGTAATTAATGATCATCCCAATTCTTCAATAAAATTTATGACAAGTGATAATACATGGATTTCAAAAAATTAATCATATTATTACACACAAAATTTTTGTTCGTGAAAAACAGAGTTACACAGAAATTTGATATTGAAAATGTTTCGTGGAGTACATTAACTGTTATATCAGTTGTAGTTGCAACTCAAAGAGAAAATGTAGTCAGGAGTTGGATAGTTAATTGGTTAAGAAGACGAAATTGCCCCAGATTAACCCACTAGTATTTATTCTGGCACTAACTTGTACCAACATGTATGATGTACATAACTGACATGATGTAGCCAACTGTTATATTATGTATTTGTGAACGATCGGTTCCAGCGCGGCGGATGTTGTTTTCAATGTTTCACTGAGTGAAAGTCACTCGCCAAGAATTTAAATATCTTTTCAAAGGGCTCTGAGGGTATGAAAGTAATTCAGATGTATTTTTATATGCTGATTAGTGAAAGCTCATAAGCTCAATGTTGGTTTAGATGGTGGCTATAAGAGGAACCTTCCCCGTTCCAGGGGGTCCCGGACTGTGTTAATTACAAGTTGGTTACTTTAAATGTAATAACTTCTATCTCTCTTATCTCAATAGCCAACTTTTAACATAATCAGCGAAAATAATATTGATGTTCAAGTTATAACGAAGTAGTTAATATTTCAAAGGCGCAGTTTTATCAGGAAGAGAAGAGGAGGAACTGGAGTTGTCCCTGAATTTTGATCCTTTCTTGTTGAGGCTCCTATCAGTATCAGCTCCTTTACTAAACGTGTAGTAGATCAGGATTATTACGAACATTATCGCGCCTGAAACAGTATAGTATTAGTACTATTTAATAGTAGTGATTACCCTTACAGTAGATCAGTTAAAATACAACAATTGCAATGGGTTCATAATGGAATCTTAGGCTTATCAAACCTTAACAGGACTTTGCCTCTTAAACCCGGACGGGCACATACCGATACTCGCCGAGTGAACAGAGGTGATCACGGTACAGGACGGGCACATACCGATACATTTTGTGTATACTCTGCCCTTAACCCTGGCACATACTGATCCTTTTAAGCCAGTTCTAGAAACCAAGACCACAAACTCTCTATCAGGAGACATATAATACGATTTAACATATTTGGTCATAATATTATTCCAGCCGATATTTGTTCCCTTGATCACAACATCTGTTGCGTCAAGAAAATTTAGATGAGATATAAATAAAGAGGGAAATTAGGTCCGTTACTCGGCGACACGTGCCACAATTACAAAAGAGACCGTCAGTACGTTCATTGACATCATGCCCAGCGTTTGACATGCCGACATGCACATTGCACTGTGATATTACATACCGACATGCACATTGCACTGTGATATTACATACCGACATGCACATTGCACTGTGATATTACATACCGACATGCACATTGCACTGTGATATTACATACCGACATGCACATTGCACTGTGATATTACATACCGACATGCACATTGCACTGTGATATTACATACCGACATGCACATAGCACTGTGATATTACATACCGACATGCACATTGCACTGTGATATTACATACCGACATGCACATTGCACTGTGATATTACATACCGACATGCACATTGCACTGTGATATTACATACCGACATGCACATTGCACTGTGATATTACATACCGACATGAACATTACACTGTGATATTACATACCGACATGAACATTGCACTGTGATATTACATACCGACATGCACAGTGATAGTGTTGTGCAGGGTCTTGGGGAGCGGAACATCCACCACGTACACCAGGAACTCAGTAGAGTAGTTGCAGATCGTGTCCTCCATCACAACTACTCGGTAGTGGAACAGCTCTGAAAGGGGAGGTGAGTGAGGCATCTACCATTTGTAGACTAGGAAAACCTATCAATATTACTGGAGGTTTTTTTTTTCACGTTTATCTCCCCGGACATGCTATAATCTAAAACGTGACTAGTGCCCTAATACACAGCAGTAACAAGCTAATAGTGCACTATATATCACTATATAAAGTGATGGAATATTCATGCACCAACACATGTGTCAACACCGAGATTAGAAACCCGCTAAGCAGATCACTCCAACATAATGGAGTAATACATGAAAGGCTACAATATTAAAGTGGTACAAAGTTGCGGTATTACAATATAAAAGTGGTACAATGTTGCGGTATTACAATATTAGAGTGGTACAATGTTGCAGTGTTACAATATAAAAGTGGTACAAAGTTGCGGTATTACAATATAAAAGTTGTACAATGTTGCGGTATTACAATAAAAAAGTGGTACAATGTTGCGGTATTACAATATAAAAGTGGTACAATGTTGCGGTATTACAATAGTAAAGTGGTACAATGTTGCAGTGTTACAATATAAAAGTGGTAAAAAGTTGCGGTATTACAATATAAAAGTGGTACAATGTTGCGGTATTACAATATAAAAGTGGTACAATGTTGCGGTATTACAATATTAGAGTGGTACAATGTTGCAGTGTTACAATATAAAAGTGGTACAAAGTTGCGGTATTACAATATAAAAGTTGTACAATGTTGCGGTATTACAATATAAAAGTGGTAAAAAGTTGCGGTATTACAATATAAAAGTGGTACAAAGTTGCGGTATTACAATATAAAAGTGGTACAAAGTTGCGGTATTACAATATAAAAGTGGTACAAAGTTGCGGTATTACAATATAAAAGTGGTACAAAGTTGCGGTATTACAATATAAAAGTGGTACAATGTTGCGGTATTACAATATAAAAGTGGTACAATGTTGCGGTATTACAATATAAAAGTGGTACAATGTTGCGGTATTCCAATATAAAAGTGGTAAAAAGTTGCGTTATTACAATATAAAAGTGGTACAAAGTTGCGGTATTACAATATAAAAGTGGTACAATGTTGCGGTATTACAATATAAAAGTGGTACAATGTTGCGGTATTCCAATATAAAAGTGGTACAAAGTTGCGGTATTACAATATTAAAGTGGTACAATGTTGCGGTATTCCAATATAAAAGTGGTACAAAGTTGCGGTATTCCAATATATGTCATCCAATGTATCATGTATCATACATTTATGGAACTATTCAAAATTCTTAAATTTGATGTTCCCCAGTCGATTAAAGATCTTTTCAAGTTCTGTCCTAGAAAGGAAAAACTTCGTCTGATCGTCCCATTACTGAGGTTAGATATCCCCCAACAGAAATTTTTGTACACCTCTACGAAAATTTGGAATGATCTCATCCCCTATGTATTCGAAATTATGTGATGCTAATGAAGATGGGATAATAATCCCGGGTTCTTCCAAAAATTCAGACTTATCAGGCTTGTCAGGTAATTTTAAATCTAACCTTAAAAAGTACTTGCTATCCCTCCAAAATCAAGATGACCCTAATACATGGTAACTAATCTATATTATATCTCAAATATAATATATTATATTTGTATTATAAATATATATACATAGTGGATGGTTGAAGGGGTTTCAAGCACATGTCACTCTCAAATCTAATGATAAGCAGTGGCCTTTGGCACTTCAAACCTCCTCTGATTTGTTTATTATTGATATTGTTTGATTGTGCCGTAAAAATAAATATTTGTTTTATTAAATATTTGTTTTATTCAATATTTGTTTTATTAAATATTTGTTTTATTAAATATTTGTTTTATTAAATATTTGTTTTATTAAATATTTGTTTTATTAAATATTTGTTTTATTAAATATTTGTTTTATTAAATATTTGTTTTATTAAATATTTGTTTTATTAAATATTTGTTTTATTAAATATTTGTTTTATTAAATATTTGTTTCATTAAATATTTGTTTTATTAAATATTTGTTTTATTAAATATTTGTTTTATTAAATATTTGTTTTATTAAATATTTGTTTTATTAAATATTTGTTTTATTAAATATTTGTTTTATTAAATATTTGTTTTATTAAATATTTGTTTTATTAAATATTTGTTTTATTAAATATTTGTTTTATTAATATAAAATTACAATATAACACTCACCAGATCCCAGAAATACGATAGAACAGTTGGTGTAGTTGCAACTAGGCGACAAATTGTTTTCTCCAGCTTTGTAAATCTGAAACTCTTCTCTTCCGTTCAGCTCCGTGATCAGATAAGTGTGACTAGGTGTGATTAGGTGTGATTAGGTGTGACTAAGTGTGGTAAAGTTATAAGTTAGTGTGCCTAGTTTTACCACAAAGTAATGGTTTAGACAACAGACATTACAATTATAGAAATTTCGTACATAGCTGGAATTAATGGTACAGATAACAGAAAGGTGATGAGGTTTGGAAGGGTGAAGGTGTTAAAATACCTACCGGTAAAGTGCAGTAACAAGTTATGGATCTGTATGGAAGTAGTTAGTTGTAGGATACGAAATTAGACGAAAATCCAAATTTTGACCCAGCGTATAGTTTAAAAGTATGTCGAATAGTTTTCGGTCTCCCTAAATAATGTTGCATGAAGAGAAGGGGTCCGCAGACTGCCGGCAGCCGGAGGGGGGGGGGGGGGGGGGGGGCAGTGAAAAGTGTTACATCGTGACACACAGCATGGCAGATGGTTGATCACACAAAACATGACAATGATGGAAACTGCAATTCTACTTATTAGAATATATATGGAGCATATAAACTTTGCTAAATAAAGAAGCCTCCTCCTCCCCCCACTAGAACTATTAGCGCCCCCCCCCCCCCCCCACTAGGACTATTAGCGCCCCCCACCCACTAAGACTATTAGCGCCCCCCCCCCCCACTATAACTAATAGCCCCCCCCCCCACTAGAACTATTAGCGCCCCCCCCCACTAGAACTATAAGCGCCCCCCCCCCCACTAGGACTATTAGCACCCCCCCACTAGGACTATTGGCGCCCCCCCCCCACTATAACTAATAGCGCCCCCCCCCCCCCCCACTAGGACTATTAGCACCCCCCCACTAGGACTATTGGCGCCCCCCCCCCCCCCACTATAACTAATAGCGCCCCCCCCCCCCCCCCCCCCCACTATGACTATTAGCCCCCCCCCCCCCCCCACTATGACTATTAGCCCCCCCCCCCCCCCATTAGGGCTATTAGCGCCTCCCCCCTACTCAGTACTCACTTTAAAGGTAGAGGGTCCTCTCCCAACCTCATGATAAGCAGCTCCGGTGTGAATATTGAGGTGTATGGAACCTTGTACACAATCTGTCTACAATCACTGTGAGCTGCTAAATCTATGAGAATATCGGAGTTTAGGGTGCAAAATTAAGATCTAAATTGAAATGTCTAGTTCAAATAGACTTTGACTTTGGATTATTATTCTTATTTCAAAGTTGAAGCCTTTGATTTTTTAAATAGCAGTAGTCTTGAAACCTTATCACAGCTTTACTATACAGGGAAATGAACTTTTTCACGTTTGATAAAAATAGTATGTTCTATTTTTAAGAGCTCGGTCAGACAGGTGTAAGATGTTGAGAGAGGGGTAAAGGGGTAGGGAGAGGGGGGGGGGGTAGGGAGAGGGGGGTAGGGAGAGGGGGGGGGGGGGGGGTAGGGAGAGGGGTGGTAGGGAGGGGGGAACCTACCGGATATCTTTAACTCGTCTGAACAAGAACATTCAGCCCGACTATCCGAGTTATTACACTGTTTAAATTCGTACGAGTGTTTAGAAACGGCTTTCGCAGATCTGGGAATAGGTTGACTGGGGTCCGCATTGTAGACGTTGTGTGAAGTGGAGATCTCTCGACCGTGGATTGAGGGGGGTCGGTAGTTGACTGGTAGTGACGTCATCACGTTGTCTCCTGAGGGTTAGTGTTTGCTGGAAGTGACGTCACTATAAAGTCTACCTAATGTTTAAAATGTGGCCTGTACCCCTGGAGCTGGTACGGAGTTGACAGTGTGTTGGTGTTAAACTGGGCAGGAATTTCAGCACATTCCTGAAAAATAGTCTACACGGTAAACACTAAAATCAAACTTTCGGGCTCGCACTCTAGACAAGTTATGGAGTCTCAAGTCTACTGAAGTGCGGACCCCTGCAGTCACATCTCTATATTGCAGGGAAAACACCTTAGACAACCCAGAAGCCCGCATGGGCATAGTGTAAATTCGTTCGAGAGATCAGAAAATTGCCACAAATTAGAAAACCCTGCAGTCTTTCAGGGGATTCTGGAATTTTACAAACATGAAATTAATAACTAACCGTGAGGTGCCATGTAGTGAGGGGAGAGGAAGGCAGCTTGGTCCGGAACGTGAGGATACCTCTGGACCAGCCTGGTTTGAGGATCACAAGCTTGCTGGACTGAGAACAGTACTGAAGGTACTTCGCACTTCAAACTGGCGGAAAGGTACGGCGTGATCAGTACCGGGGTGTAGGTACCTCCCTCTGTACTCTCGTGACTTAGACCAATCTGAGGTTTACTGTTTAAAGTCACAAGTTTGCAGCTAGTATTCTTACAAAAGCGAAGTAAATTATATTATAATTGTACTGGTCATATTATTGTATACTGCAACTGATTATACTGAAGTAATATTAATTATATTATTTTGATTTAAGCGGAAAGCCGCAGAGTTAACTAACAGTTAGTTGAGTGAGATGAGATGTGGTATTGTGGGTGGAGTAAAACTGGAACTTGTCTCGATTGTCAAACACTATCTTGAAGACGGGAGAAGATGGCGGAAACATTCTCTTGTCTGACACTTTGACTTTTAGTTCAACTTGATTGAGCGTGTCTATGTGTACTGATTGTTGAGGCACTGGAATTGATAGACGCTTTGAACTCAGATGCTAAGCATTGATAATAGCTATTTTAACACTGTTACTGTTTTAAAGAGAACTAATCTAGACTATGTGGAGTTAAACACACTGAAATTAATAAGCCTTAAATTCGGCACACGGATGACAGATACCATAGTAACCAGGAAAGTGACTGAAAGGGGAACTTAACAAGTACTCAACAGACGAAGGATTTGTTAAACAGGAGCTAGAGGGTTTACCAGGGTGAGAGAGAGCTTGTAGATCGTCTGCCACAAAGACCACCTCACACTCTGGTTCAGACAGGATCCAACTTGAGTCACGTGCCAACATGTCCTCCGCAAGCATTCCGGACCCAATGTTAGAGAACACTATCTCACCGCTTTCAAATTCTGTGAAGCCAATAATATTGTTCTTTTGCTATGAAAATGTTGTCGCAATAAAAAAAAGAGCAAATTAGAGGATATTTATGACACGATGTCTCCTCTTTATAGACGTTATCTATTGCTACAAATAGTACCTATTTGCAGTAACTACCTCTAACCCTGTCACTGTAATCCTTGAAATATTACTCTAAACGAAGGAGGAGTAATATTCATCCTCATTCCTTATCAGGCCTCCCAGATTCATGGCTTATGGTTTATGGTTTATTTGAGACGTGGTTATCAATTTCGTTTTGGTATTAAAATGTTTAGAGTCTTAGAGGTAACTTAGAGGTAACTTAGAGGTAACTTAGAGGTAACTTAGAGGTAACTTAGAGGTGACTTAGAGGTGACTTAATACTTAAGTTTTAGGAATACTCATAAACACTATTCTGTAAAATAGTCACTGTAAAGAGAGATTACCTTCATTGAGCAGGAAGTTGTCATTAGATATGATGACAAAAGTAAGGTCGCTGACTTTCTGCACGATACCCTGTCTGCCTCCCTCCACAGTCATGATGCTCCCCTCCAAATCAGAGCTTAGAGAGCTCGGAGCAGTTATTGTTACTTGGTCACCGACCTCTGTTACCACGAACTTGTCGCCAATCTCAACCTCAACCGTTGACATATAGGGGTCTAAGTTGATAGAAAACCATCTGTCCGACTCAATTGACCCCATGCACTCGCTCACTGGACAGAAAAATGGGTTTGGCTACGTCTAATTCTCTTGCTATCTAACCGTTAAAGTCTGCAGCAGCTGCTCAACCGTTAGCAGCGAATAGACGTGCAAATTAATTTTCAGACTTGTTGAGCTTCAAGTTTGTTAAATATTAACGACTATCTCTCTATCGCGGCATATTTGTGCGCACGTACCTTTGTTCGGGTAGAGAGGGGTAGCAATTAGGGATGTTGGACTGTGGACACCGGACACGAGGAAAGGAGTACAGTGTAGGACAAGGATACAGGAGCCTATCTGTCTGGTGGTCCACAGACTACCACCTGAGGAGACACCACTACTAGACACTCACTATTACCCTTCTACTTTTATACTCTACAGTAAAACACACTGCACTAATCTACATTTTAGTTCGCCCAATTTTAAAGATAATCAACAGTCGATATTCCACATCTTTCCTTTGATCGTTAATAAAATGGAGCTGCCTTTACTTAAGCAGAGCGATGATATAGGAATGGTTGTAACTAATTGTAGTTGGTATATTTAAAAACTGACAACAAACGAACTTGACCATGGTCGTTAGTCTGGATTGTGATACACCACACCATAAAAGAGTTCACCAGTAATCATTATAAAGGAAATTTAAAATAAAGAATGGACTCACCAACAAGTCCGATCTTAACCAAGCCGTCTCCGTGTGACTCTATGAATATAGTGTTTTGCACAGATTTGGGCTTGAAAAAGGGTTCCATGACTTCAAGAATCGCAACAGAACTATTTTTGTCAGAAATAGTTGCTTGGGTCACTTCAGCTATTCTACCAGATCCCCTGCCTTCATTTAGCTGGAATATCTTGCCAACATCTCCCAAGGCGAACGTGTTCTTCTGAGGGGGTATCATGATAATTTTTAATCTGAGCTCGGGTTGACATGAAAAGAACACAAATCTAAAATAATACGTTGCTTTCTCTTAGTAAGCATTATAAAAAACTTATATAAATCCCAGATAATATGAACCTAGCTACTATAAAACCAACTGCTATGAACCTAGCTACTAGGTCCGAAGTTTTCAAGCACTTTTGTGACATTTTAAGTGGTTGCATAAGGGGGGATCTGATGGTTTTCAGGGATAGTTCTTGACCCAAAAAAGAAATCTCGAAACTTAAAGAATTCAGAATTTGACTCTTGTCACTACTATAAACCAGCTACTATATTATCGGAGGGCCAGCAACCAAACGAGAGGAGTAAACTAACAAAGAGGGTGATAAGCCAAGACTGGTGTGATTGCAGTGTTAATGTGACCCAATCAGATCAGTCGGTAAGATATAGACAGGGTGAGAGAGTTGACATTCCCTCCACAGTAGCGTTAGATAGGTGGTGTATTATAATATCATAATACGGACAGATAATGACAGAGAACATTGTACCTCCGCAAACCCCCTCCCCTCCGTAACCCCCTCCCTCCGCAACCCCCTCCCCTCCGTAACCCCCTCCCCTCCACAACCCCCTCCCCTCCGCAACCCCCCTCCACAACCCACCCTCCCCTCCACAACCCCCTCCCCAAGCGTGAAATAGTTCTGCTACAGCAATTGGGCTTAGGTTAAAGGCATTTATCAACTGTTTAGTTCGTTTCAAAATATCTGCTAAACTTGAAAACCAGTGGCACATAACGCAGGAACCCGGTATCAGTGTAACTTTGTGGCTGCTAAAATGCTAGATGTGATACTTGTAGTGATCACACTCTTGTGTCTAGATTCTAACTTATATTATCCCAATCTTGGAACAACTTTGTAATTCCCAACTTTGTAGTTCCCAAAAGTAATCACCTGTGAGAAGGAAATAAGTCTGACTTTGTTCCCTCCTATAAGTTCTATATAGAGCTGAATATCTCCTGACTCCTCCACATACAACGCTCGTCTGGGTATTCTGTACCTGAATCAGATAATTCTAGTGTCATTTGACTAATTATAATTATAAGCACGAATCTTGATGTATGGATTGCCGAATCAGAGAGTAGGGATTCCCGATAAATCTGGGGATCCACCGCGCGAGGCGGGAGCATGCGCAGAATGCACGTGCATCCTATCGGAGCAGCCTTTCAAGTAAAGCAGGAGCATTAGGAACCTGGTGATTGAGGAGTCTCGCAGAGTGTGATAGCACAACTGAGAAGTGTGATCTAATGTGAAGTATGTGTGTGGTGTGATCGGGCTGCTCTGGATATTGTGAACTTCTACAAATCGGTTTATTCCAACGTTCGACATGAACACTCTTCCGGAGTCGGTCAGCTGAAAACCCACATTTTGAGTTAATTTATAAGGCTGTTAAAGTTTTAATTCATTTGTACTGTAATTAAAAATTTGCAGCCCTATTTTTGGATCAAGCATCAAAAACATTTTTAAAATACATATTTTCAAGTTTTCAACACTACTAAGTACTGCAAATAATTTGAGTCCACGCAATGACGTTCTGACGATGAAATATATTGATCATTTTCCTAGTCAACCACGCCTAGGTTGTTTTGTCAAGAAAAGAATCAATATTATTCACTAAATGAAAAATGCGACTCATTTATGACTGTTCGACAATTGTTCAGTTTGACCACGAAAAACCAAAAGAAACTCGATGAAAGAGGTATAAACTGTAAACTTAAGGTATTTATATTAGCAGTAGTGAAACTTACCGCTACAATATCTCCGAAGAGACCCCCGGAGACCATGTCCCTGACCAGGTCCCCCTCCTTGAGGGTCAGTACAGTGGTTAGGAACTCTCCCCGAGAAGAGGAGTGCAGGATCTGGGAACCGTGCAGGTACAAATCAGAGGTTACTTCGTCCCAGTGTACCCCTACTACACTGTCCGGCCACTTCTGAGAGAGAACATGGATCACATCTTTTTTATAAATTTGTTGAACAAAAATTTTGAAATTTGTTGTAGAGAACTTGTAGTTGTCAAAGGAGGATTAAAATAAAACGGATCGTACACATAAAACTTTACTTACAACACTATTATTGAAAGGAGGGCCACTTCCAGTGCCGTTTATGGTGACAAAGTCTTCACATTTTTGAGAGACTACAGTGAGATTGCGGATGGTATCATGGTATGTGTCCAGTATCTTGCAGTCTGGGTCCGGGGAGATCGGTACTGTCTCCAGTCTGAATACGGATACCTGCCGGATAACGGTCCTGTAGATCAGAGCGGGCTTTTAACCCTATTGCAGTAGTCAGGCCTCTTGTAGCCCTCCGGACATTTCCCCCTTATTTTAACAGTAATACTTCATTTCAGGGCAAACGAAGAAAGCCCATAATTTCCCCAAAATTAAAAAGTCATTGTGCTGGAAAATTAATATTAATCACTTCGAGTCAACCCAAAATTCGCTACTTAGTAGCGCCAAGGTTCGCATACATTTGAGTTAAACAACCAGGGGATAAATGTTTGTCTAAAACCCTGTAACTTTATTTGTATATCCGCACATTCGCGGAAAAGCACGTAGTCCATGATATTGATTAGCGGGAATCTGGTAAATGCAATTTATGCCAAAATTGTCTTTGTCCCTCGCCCCGGCTGCAATAGGATTTAATATTATTTACATTCTCAGCCCATGAAGTGGACTTTATATTGCCAGAGATTTGAGAAACCAAGTATTTTCATATGTAATGAAAATTACAGAACATGACGATCGTTAGCTGATCTTTTTCAAAGGATTCAAGTCGGAGCCAGGTACGAGTTAAAAAGTTCCAGATATACAAGGTGAAACATACTAACTCAGCTGTCAGGGCAGCAGCTTGGTTAAGTGTGATGATTGTTCTATCAGTGCACACGGCAGGGCAGCTCCGAGTAACAGTGCGAGTAGCGTGTGTGGTGGGGTGAAGATGTTCCCACTCACCTGACTCTCCCACAGTCAGTACACCACGTGATGTTACCAGGATAACGGTAGTGGGCAGCAGCACCACCTCCACTAGCTCTGAGCCAGCGACTCCCGAGTTTTTACTTTGATTTTTAAAACCTACTGCAAACCATTCCACTTTGCCGTACTTATACATCCCAAAATAGGAAGAGTTTTTCTGGAACACTATTTGCACATTTCTGCTACAAGGCGAATATCTGGATAAGAGTTGGCTGTCTGTGTTGAAAACGGGAGTGACCGGATCAAAATAACTGTCAGGTTTACTATAAACAGAACTCAGCAGAGATACTGAGAAGACAGCGTCCTGAATAAGGCAGGAGTCGACATAAGTTTTAGGGAATGTAACTCTAATGTGCCAGTCCCGGGGAGCTGTAGCAGCCTGACTGAGGAGGGTATTCTTGTTGAGGGGGATAGTCCAGGTTCCAACCGTGTAGTTTCTGGTGATAGGGAGGGAGAGTTGGGACGTGGTGTTAGTCAATTGGACTGTTGGCGAGAGGACACCACTGTAGAAATACTGAGAGGTTATCTTCTCTTTTGCTCCGTTGAAAATGTTAATCTCAACCAATGTTTCCTCAGAAAACGAAACACCTTCTACTTCCTCTCCACCAACAGAAAATACCATGTAGTTACAGTAATCTGACTTTGTGACGAGCACAGGAATGACAAAAAGGAGCGGGAGTCCACCGTCTAGAGTGGAGGGGTATACTAGGTGACTCTCAGTCCCATCATCTGAAAACACCACCACTAAGTTGGTGTGTCCTGGGGTGGAGACTTTGATATCTGTACTCTTAGTACTGTTCTCGTATTCTCCTGAACTTACAACCTCCTTGTTGATCCTGACTGTGAAGTAGCAGGGGTCGTAGGGGCAGTCGTCTCCTTCAACTACAAGAGAGAAGGTCTGTTTGAGGAGGAGGTCATGTGACTGGGACGACACGAACACGTGCAGTGGGGTCACGTGGTTTAGCAGGGAGAGGAGGAGAAGGAGGAGAACAGTCATCCTACCTGTGGGGGGCATTCCTTCGTTATATTGAATATATGTACATAATAATAAGTAGTTATTTGGAGGACTTGATGACGCATAAATCTGCATAAATACTGAAAATTAAATTTGAAATAGAAGTACTGGTGGTATTTTCAAAAACAAATATAATGTTTAAATGGTAACTATTCAGTTAACTATTCAATGTGTATTAAATAATTACCATTTAATACACATTGGTGTTCAATATCAGGCACAAAGTACAGTGCTAATTGCCAAGATACCTGTATTCCATACTCTATCATGTAGTATGTGCATCTTTAAAATGGTACGCATGTTAAGGTCCTGTACGCACGTTAAGGTCCTGTACGCACGTTGAGGTCCTGTACGCACGTTAAGGTCCTGTAAGCACGTTAAGGTCCTGTACGCACGTTAAGGTCCAGTAAGCACGGTAAGGTCCAGTACGCACGTTAAGCTCCAATGACCAGAGCGCACAACAGTTATGTAGGATTTCGTTGGACTTGTTGATCTTTATCCAGATTCATTCAAATGAGGGTCCCATTAAAATAGAATCCATTCTTAGCCCGGGCTTCTTTCAAATAGGATTCGGACTTCGTACAAGTCGAACACTATTACCAGATTCCTACTTCGTCAACAGAGAGATACTATAGTTGCCTACTATAAGTAACTGCGATACTATAGTACCCTATTATAAGTGTCAGATAAGCGCATATCGTGTGAACTAGATTATTGGTCACGTCAATAGTTAGTGTAGTATTAGTGAAGTGTGAGTGAGTATCTCCCATGTGAACCTATACCTAGGTGATAACTGCTGATAAGAAGTGTAATGACAACTATATTGTGGGCTAACTGACTGATATTCAGAGCTGCGTGGCACTGTCAGGCAACTACCCAGATATTGACTAATTCTAGACCTGTGATGATTACAATTAGGTCAGCTATTGGAGATAAGGTGCGGGTCTCAAGTGGAGTGGTGGTGAGTGGTTGTAGGTGTGACCTATCAAGAGTCATCTTCCTAACGAGCCCTTCTCACGGCTATATCTCCTAATCTCACTCTCTCACGCCCTGTTCTCCACTTTAAAACAATTGTTAAACTTGCAGCCTGGGAAGCAAGTAGCACCTGTTTTCAGCAGAATTCAATTTACCGGTCTGTTCACCTGTTGCCTGTCCAGGAATGTAGCGGTCTTGAAGTTAGATGATCTGATGAGGCGATAGTTGGGGAACTATCCACCGGGTACAGTTTTAAAGTTGTAACTATAGCAACTATCAGAGTTAGAGTGTTCCTCTGCTGTTGACAACACTGTCTTATTATTGTGCAGCCGCGCAGACATCCTCGCCAGCCCACATTTATTCGCTAATTAAAATTGGATACATGAGTACCTGTCCACGTAACGAGGGGCACGTTTTTCAGGCTCAGTTCAGTCAGGGTCAACTTTTAACAGGCTCGTTTGTTGAAAAGCTGGTGGTGTAGTGACCGCCAGGCACAGGAGCTGAGCGAGGGGAGGCGAGTACCAGTTAGCTGATGATAGGCAGAGGGTTTTAAAAACAGGAGCAGTGACACAGTACAAATAGGAGGGGTGAAGTATGAAGTAGTTGCGGGGGAGGTTGTTACAACTTCCCCCGCGTGTGGTAAGAGCTGTAGGGCGTGCAGTGCTCGAGTACTATGGCTTGACGCCTTCATGCTATACCTCTTAAAATAGCACTCACAGCTAGATCACTAGAGCTCTTGTTGACGGTATGGAGCGTAATAATATCGTGCCAAGGTTTTAAACCCCGAGTTTATGTCTACCAGCAGTAGGTACAGCTCCTACTTGCATTTTGCAACATTGCGTAATACCCAAACCTGTCATGTAGCCCTGAGCAGGAACTTAAGTTTATGTCGGGATTCCTGCAAGTTCTTCAAATCAGAAGCATCACCATAACATATGCAGTACAGGATATATATACTAGATAATATTCATTTCCCTTTCAGGTGTGGTACTGCCTGCCTAGGGATACAGAGTACTGAACAGAGGGTAAATACTTATTAACTGTAAGGTAAGTGATAAGTTGTTGATGTTAAGAAAATTTTCTCTTCTTGCCCTTGAGTTTTGCTGTGCTTGCGCTCTCTCTTGTTTTTCATTCGCGAGCTTCAAGTGAGGTGATTCAGAAAGCAGTTTACCGTACAAAACAGTTAGGTACAGTTTGAAGATAAGATGTTTAACGTTGAGTTAGTAAGGGAGCCAGCGCCAAAAAGGCTGTCCTGATCCTCCAACAAATTACACGGGGGATTACCGACCCTGTCAACTGTTAGATAGAAGGGGAGTATTGTGTCCACCCCTCTATCAACAATCCACTAAACCGCCAGCGAGGGGAAACCATTAAAAACCACGGGATCTTTACGGCAAAACTCAACCCACGATTGTCAGCGGGATCGGCGAGGGGGTCTAAATTTAGTTGCTGGTGACAAGTATTAACTATCTCCACATATATACTATATTACACATACGATTAAATATGCAGCGCACAGAGATACAGAGGGCTGTTTCAGCGGATATCTGATATTATAACCATGTCACCATTATAAAAGTAACATATATTTATATAAAAGTAGCAGCAGACTTATACACGATGGAAGAAACAGCGGAACTGTCTATATAATATCCTGTTATAATGCCGATAATATCATGTTAATCCCGGTTTCTGTCTCGGTACCGGGATTCTCTCTATCTGGTATCACGTGACCGGGCATTAGCACGGCCCTGAAATGTAGAAGTTAAGCGGGGCCTACAGTCACTCCCCGATCACTGATTTCTTTAATCTGAGCTACCGTTAATTGACCAGCTGTGTAAAGTAAGTATGCATTGAACAGAGTATGCACACATTAAGTAACTTTATCTAATTTGGTTTAGTCAACGCCACGGTTAGCCTTTTGTTAAGCTATTAGGTTACCCCGGATTTTCGAGGCGTGGCTCCGAACAGAGCAAAATCAGCTCCTGATTTTGACAAGTCAGTTCGAACTGTTTTCAGATCTCGGTGTTTATCATGGCCAGGTATCATTCTGGTATTTTGCGTGCCCAGCTAGCAGTTTAGTGCGTTGCTCGTCCAAGTGCAGAATTTTAACAATTGGCTTCACTTCGTCTAGTTTTGCCGAAAAAAAGCTTATGGTTTAAAGCTGAGTACCGTCTAGATCAGCTAGTTACTTCAAAGAAAAAGATTCCAGGATCGTAATATTTTGATGGCAGCTGAGCCAAGGTATTTAGCCTGCAGTTCAAGGAGTTCAGGAGGAAAGTCTTTGGATCGGGAGAAGACGGAACTTATGTGAATGACAGGAATAATACAGATAATAATATGTAGTTATCCAGTTATCTCCCCTGTTGGGCTGACAGCTGGTTTTGGTACTTGGTACCCGGTAGAGTTGGCTGGTTAACGTGCCAAGTTGTGGGACGTGTGAAGTGCGACAGGCTGCCTGAGAGTCTCTAGCCCGACTAGTTCTCTCTCTGGGACTCTCTCTTCCTCCACCAGCTCCTCTGACATCAGCCAGATCCCGCCGCGTTTTCAGCGTTTTCAGGCGTGTCTATCACCCAAAAATATGCCGGGGACCTTCTTAAACAGCAAATAGCTTTTAAAAGTGCCGGTATCCGAGAGGAGATCAGGGAGAGTGCCACGTTACGCTAATCTGAGAGTGTAGGTAACCAATGGCGACAGGGCGCCAGAGTCACGTGGGCAGGCACACCAATAGCAGGGAGTTTATGGCGTAGAGCATACCCTTGTGAAGCTGGATTGTAACAGTTCAAGTTAGACAGGTAACTGGACAGGAGAGTTTTAGCGGGGCCCCCACTAGACAGTGGTCAAGCTTGCGTTCCACACGGCAACCCGCACAGCGAACAGACTATATTGTCAACACTTCGCATCTGACACTACTCGTCTACTGAACCCCAGCTGCCAATCACACCGCCACCAGCAGGTCACGTGCTGCAGCCGGCTAATCACGCAGTCCGGCTTAGGGTCAGCTGACGGAGGAACTTTCTCCTCTCCGGTTGAACCTTGTCTACCTTTAAAACAACATGTGACACGTGGGCGACCACGTCACTGTCACGTGCGTTATAACTACACCACGTGCTACCAACTCGATATATACTCGAAATGCCCGCGCGAGTTAACGCAAAACCGTCATATTATGCTGGTGTTGGTTTCTTGATTCCCAATTGTCACCCATTACTCTGTAAACAGTAGTAGCTGCAGCAGTAGTAACACAAGTGACACGTTCACACTCCTACTGCACTCGCCGTCTTTTCAACGGTTTTAAAATTTTCTTTTACCGCTGAATACATTCTGCCCAACACCCGAACCTCTTTTCCCCTTCTTTTCACCAGTTCTACTGGCAGAAGCGTGCCTTTCATTCTTAACTCGACTCGCCTTAAACGTCATGAAGGTCGTCCAACACTTGGTCAAGTGTTGGAAATTTAGGGCAACAATTAATTAGCGTTCATGTCGAAAATTGCAGGACCTCGTTTACTGCCATTTCCACTCCCTTATCTCGACAGGAATCAGTTTAACATTTAACCCAAATGGGATTCATTGTCAATTTATTAATTATGGCTGTGTAATACAATTTGGCGTGAATATACACCAACTACTAGTATTGTCCAGTGCCCGGGTTCAGTGACTTTGCTTACATCTGGTTTAGTTTGCGAAACTAGTTCCTTACATCTGTTCTCGTTATCGTTTGTTTGTGATTCCCAACTTTGGATGGGTCTACTGACAGTAGGGTTGTGATAAGGTTGATGTCTGGCACTTCATTTCTCCTTGATTAGGGACAGGCTTACAGATATCACCGTCTGAAAAGTAGGAACTTGTCGCTAAACCCTCGTAGCGGTGTTTCCCATGTTGGTGAATACTGGGACTTAGGGCTCTGTAAGGTACCTAGCAGAGCCTATACCTGTAATGACAATAACAATAGTGCCCGAGATTGTCAGTATTACGTTCAATTAACACTATAAAAGTATAAACACTGATAAACACGGTGTGAATTGCTAAGGGTCGCACAAGGCCATCTTATTGGATTACCACGATCACGTGTTCATTAAAAATTGTTGTCATTGGATACCACAACCACCACGTGGTGATCTCGAGATCGTCTGGACTTTTTAATTTTTCTGAGAGAAAAATTCCAAAATTTCATGTATGTACTAGAGTTGTACCCGAGTACAGTGTTTGTGTGTTTAATGCTTAGTATTCGTGCTGAGGAAGAATGTTAATTATCATCGTTACTCTCCAAGAAACATAGTCTAGTCTCCACGCTCTCAGTATTCTAGCTCTTTTGGCGTACCGGTATCTCTCTAACCTACCGGTACTCTAGCTCTCATTACGTACGGTTCCACACGGTACTGATATTTTTTCCCCGATTTAGTGCCCGTGCTGACACCTATGTAATATGTACTGTACAGCGTGTTGTTGAGCTTGAGTTGGTGAGCTCTAGTTGAGGTTGTAGCGTTCCCATGGCCGGCTAATCAGGTGAAGACGTGACCGATCTTGTGTTTCACTCTCCAACAGAGTCGTGTCAACTTCCTCTCAATCTCACTCAACACTCTACATTTGATGATCACCACGTTTCCTGGTGTTGACAAGTTTTCCCAAACTGATTAGACCCGATCTCTGGTTCCCATGGTTTCAGGAAGGCGTCAAGTGGCCATCATAATTCAAGAGTGTTGGCACCCGAGTAGCAATTCATTTCCGAGAGTTTGTCGTTTCTTTTGTTTTGCTTCGTTCTTGTTTCTGGGAACTGTTTCTCTCAACCCCCTATGTAACATATGTATAGTTATACTAACTAAGTGCCATTATATCCATTTGCCATTCAGACTTTGAAAATCTTTCCCACGTTTGAGGGTCGCTCTGGCAAGCATAGGCGTCCGATGCAATATCAATACTGAACTCTCCTATAACAAGCAGACTGGGCACTTTTCTGGGTTTTGTCCAGTCGTCCTGATCCACGTGCAGTACACTTCCAAGTTCTCTCAAAATTTTCCCAAACGTTCAATTTAATCAGCGATGGGGTGGCGTTTTAGTCGAATCTAACAGCAATGATAGCAAGAGCAAATCTAACAGTAGTAGTGACGGCTCAGCCAATACGCCCAGCCTCCTGATTGATTGCTTAATCAAGGCTCGTATTTAATTAGGAGGGTATGGGAGAAAACTGATACATGGTTTTATAGGTGCTATATCAAGCAGTGACAGCAGTCCCTCGCACAGTTCATCTTTTTTGTCTTCTCGCATGTTCTCAGAAAGTCCTTCAATGCTCTTGACCTGATTAGCTGTCTACAGCTCGCGTAGTTTCTTTGAAGAAAAGTTATGATTTGAGATTTCTCAGAGATTGCCCAATTAAATCTGGTATCCCGTCAAATCACCAAGTTTATCAATAACAACCATTCCGAAAGTAGAAGGAGCGGAAACATATTTGCAAGTGCAGTAAATGTGTTTCCAACCCGAATACCCAGCCTATATTAGCAGAATGTAAGGCTGGGAAGCGCTAAAAGGGAAGTAAGCCCGCACTTCTAGGGAAGCCAAATTTCGTCATTAAAGGTGAAGCCGAGGTCCACAGCTGAGTTTCACCATCGTAAACCAGATAATTTTAGTTCCGATGGGCTGGCCAATGAGCGCGTGAAACAGCCTGCACTACGGATGTGCCTAAACGCGTGGCTCTGATTGGGAGTCAGCTGAGCGTGTGTGAGGGCGAGTGCTGCGCAGGATATGCTTCAGTTGCATGGTTTTCTCCCTTTGCGAAGCCCCTAAAACTGCCGAGAAGACTACCAAGTCCCTTCTTCGTTCATTTGCGTTGCTATGGTTACAGCTAAAATCGTCCCAGGAAAGAGTCCGGTGTTTTTATTTTCAAACTCGTTAGTACAGTTTCGTTGCAATTTTATAAGGGTTCCGGAGCAGACCTTTCTAAGCCATAGTAGTCCAGATATCATTACTTTTGGATGCATAATTATATGGTTCCGAAGTGAACCCAGAACACTTTGAGAAGCCTTTCGTGTATCACCTGCTAAGTGAGCCTGAGTGTGTTCGCATATGATGAGGTTTCAAGGGTTAAAACATACTTTCCAGCACAGACCTGCCATTACATAGGATGGCTTCGGTTTCACATTCGGGGTGAATCTATAGCTGTGTGAGTACAGCAGATTCCAAACAAGCTAGAATTAGAAAAGTAGAGTTCTACTGGTGATATAATCATGTAATCATAATGGTAAACAGCTGATATGTATCCGGGTAACTTGCCAAGTTCTGCACTCCGCAGGTGTAATACTGTAATATGAGGGATACTTTGATAAGCCTGCCTCCCGATTAAACATATCGTCTAAACGTGATCTGAGTGATATTTTAATAAGAGTGAATGGCAGTTGCAGACAAGTGGAATTGGCAGCCGGATATTAGATTAAGATTGCTAGGCTAAAGTCTTACCCCCAGTCCCTGGCGACCCCTAGTACCTGACACTTGTAACACGAACCCAAGTATTAGCCCCTTTTCAAGTTCTTTTTAATCTCAGGTTTAACAAGGTTTGCACCTTTACTTTACTAAGTAGACAGTCCTAGAAGTAGCGTGTAAGTTGCGTAAGAGTGAGCGAGGTGTGAGGTAGTAAATCTTAGATCGTACACTAATTTAAGTGTTAGCTCTTGTCTGAGGTTTATCTATATCCCGCTCTGTTATACTGTCAAAGTGCTAATGCTTTAAAGCCCAGGTTTTATCAACGGCTCGTCGGTAAAATTACAATTTGAGAAGCTTCTGTTGGTCTCCATTAGTGCCTTTATTACAACCTCTCTCCCGTCTTGTGCGCATAATTTGAGTGGATTTTGCTTCAACAACCATCAGGTAACTTCGCTTTAATGGCGATTTGATCAAATAGGAAGCCTACAAAAGACAAACATTAATCTCGAAGTGATAGATCTCACATCATTGGCAAAAACGCTATGTTTGTAAACTCCACCATACGGGTGAAGCCTTTTAAGATTCTAAGTTAGTCTCGCTTCAATAGTGCTAGAAGAATTGAGTACGAAAAAGTACGGTTAGCGACAAAATCGGCGCGTGGCTCGGCTCAACTTACAGGATCTAACCTCGGGGATCTGACATAGTGTCTGACCCAATAAAAGTGCTCTAAATCTGCCGAACAAATTCCTCTTTGGCGTTGCTAAGTGAGTTCCTCGTTGCTAAGTTGGTTCCCCATAACTATTCATGCTAACGCAGTACACCCTCCCCAGCAATGATAGCTATGGAAAGCGCATTTTCGCCCTGTTTTTCGGCGTACGTTACCTCTTACTCCAACCCGGTGCACAACTATGGGCTGCCCACCAACTCCCAGCAACCCACACAGGTAATTGCTACATTTAAGTTTCACTTATTTTCAACGTGAAAGTTTAATTGCGAACTATTTTGCACTTTGCAGCATGGTTTTCACTGATTCTAGAGTAGGAAAAAAATTGTAAAATTTCCGCACTTATCTTTTTGTGTGAAAATGGGTCACTTTTTCTGAGTGTATTTTATCACACGTATTGGTGTGCTATTTAGGCAGACGGTTGCCCAATTTTTGTACCTGGGTTTTAGGTTCAGCCGACGGTGTCGACATGATAACGCCTTATTGTTATCGAGAGTGATTTGTTCAAATCAGAACGGTTAGGGTCCAGACATACGGGATTAAGGGAATAGGCCGCACTCACCAAATACAGACGAAGTGCTGTTAATAGGTTTAATTACGGCTAATGCTATATTACGGCTATATTACGCCTTGAAGCCAGCAAAGTAGGACCCGGCCTATAGTCTTATCTAGGGTCATATTCACCTTTCACAGGGGCGTGTGATGTTTTTAGCAACCCAGCCTAGTCTATACAGTTGTAAGAGTTCTAGATCTAGATCTTAGTTAGGCGTTGAGAAGCTGTGATTTCCGTGCGGGGTAGCGTTATTACAAGCATCGCTATTAATTAACAATCAGAGAACAAATTAAACTCAAGGCTGACAAAATGAAGCCTTACAGTGAGACTCTGTTATTAGCATGTCTGAAAATATCCAGTTTATATTATCGAGCGTTTAGTACTACGAGTAAAGAGCAATTACAAGCAGTTAGCTGGTTATCAGAAGGGAAGGTTCTCCCTCTCTTCATCACACCCTTTAGACAAGATTCTTTCGACTTCTCCAAAACGCCTTTACGACTAATTTACCCCTCTTTTGTAGCAGACAACAGCTTGAATAACACTAAAAATTGACTCAATCAATAGCTAACTTCCAATATTTCAGCCCTTTTCGCCTTGTGGCCTACGTCAATCCTTTGAGAAGTTGACGAGCCCGGATGTTTTGAGCAAGTATGTAGGCCGAGGAGGACACCCCACGGCCCCCAACGTAGCAACACCCCACCTGCCCGCCACCCAGGGACCGGACATGGAACAGCCCGGAGTGTGGCTCTCGGACTCCTCCTGGTACTCCAGAGTCATGAGTACTGATAATTCCAGGTAAACATGATAATTCTAGCTAAACAGAGGGTGTCAGTAACACCTTCCCGTATTAAGACTTCCTTTTAAATCCCTAGAACTGGTTGCTTCGACAGTTCATCGGCGTTAATGAGCTTCAAAATCAATCTGTAAACTTCCGGATATATTAATCTTCATTACACTTAAACTGCATCTAGACGTATATTAAATAGTGACCACGCGAACTAGTCAACAAATCTCTTTTCTTGTAGACAATGCCTCTAACAGTGTGAATTGTGCAGGTACTACAGACAAGGTATGGACCTGCCCCCACCACCTCAGAGCGCTGGTTGCATGGATCAGCTGGAGTTGTACCGAAGAGGTAAGATAGCACTGTCAACAACTAGAGTGTTCCGTTAACACGATCACTCACTGTACTGCAATAAGATCATAATTTAGCAGGGGTCTGACTTGTAACTTACGACATAGGGTAGCCTTACATGTACAATGATGGGGCTCGATAGTATGCAGTCCATATACTAATACTTCCTCCTTTTCAGGTATCGGAGCGGAGGCGCATATCCCGGCCCCGCCGCCTGTTTCATCCCAACACCACGGTACACCCCCTCACTCCTGTATCACCGCCCAATCCCTGCCACCAATCCCCGAGGCACTCCCTCATTTCTCCGTCAACCAGGACAACAAGTGAGTTAAAGTGAATTACGTCTTGCGAACTTGCCACCGCCAGGACGCTCATTTACTTATATTTTACAAGTGTTTCATACTGTAGAAATATTTTAGTAAAATACAGTATTTTTGGTGGGTGTTTTTGAACAGCTCTCCTGCTGTGTGGAGCCGTCTGGTCTAAGGCAATTGTGTAGAGATTATGATATCGTGAAGATTTCGTCAACATTGAAATATACTGGACATATGTCAACACCTTTAGTATAGTAACCATGGTAACATGTTACTATAGTAACATAGCGATATTCCGTTTAACTTCGTACCAAGCGAATTTCTCAAATTCCGACTAAAACTGCGATTAAAATAGACAGACGTGCGCGGCTTTTTGTTTTGCCGAGTTTGATCCGTTAAAATGAGATGAAATATGTAGGGGGTTAATGGAGCGAGCACACGTGAATAAAGAGTCGAGTGAGGTATGTTGACAGGCCTGGCACCAGAGTGTCGCGCAGCCGTCAACAATCCTCCCTGATAACGGGCCGGACTGTGCGACTCATGCACCATATCTAATAGCCCAACACGAGCCCTAATATTTAGTGGATACCTCTCACAATATGGGGGTTATTTTAAACGGCGAGGGGACCGGGGGACGAGGCTTCTGAAACGACACGGACCAGGAGCTGGAGGAATTAGAGGACGAGAAAACATAGGAATATTGATTGTAGTTAGAATCAGGGAATTCTGGCATTCTTCTACCTATTAGGTCATAAATGTGTCAATACTTCATTTGGTAGATGCCTGAGTAATCAAAAATAGAATGAAGGGATCTTAAGAAGTCGAAAAGAGCCGTTTCCAATCAGAGGTCAAGTGAGCGGTATTCTCTATATCTATAACTGTAACTGAGTGCGGCTAACTGAGCCAGAGCATCATCAGTTGAACGCTGGTACACAGTTGGTACACCACTAGAGCTTAGAGAATGATATTGTAGATGTTGTATATTAGGACGCAATGAAACTACCGGACCACGATGTATGGGGACTTGCCACCCCATGGCAACATTAAAATATGTCGACTCTGTTACATCGTTTCCTGTTAATATAAAAACTCCTGTTAATATAAAACTCCGTTACATGTTTTGTTGGCTCATTTTGAATGTTTTGGGAATTCTATCGTCTGCCACAGTGTAAGCTCATAGTTGAATTGAACTGACAGGTGAAGCTATATTGATGAAGGAGCGGGGGTGGACAGGTGAAGCTATATTGATGCTAGGAGTGAAATAGGTGCATGGCGGGTTGCTCATAGAAATAAGAGACGCTAGCAATAAGGAGAACAAAGGGAACGAAGTACTTTTAATAGAGCCCATCTTATAGACTTCCACTATTAGCTGTTTCAATTAATAGTTCACATTTAGGAGCCCTGTAATAGTTCGCATTTAGGAGCCCTGTAATCGATAAAGCAATATATTCAGAACAGTTAGGTTTATCAGTGAGGCAAGCACAGACCTGGGGTTTGCGCGGCATGTGACTTACGGTCGGTTAATGTGACTGGTATCACGGCAGTTTACTTACAGTGCCCGTAAGTCTAAGTGCAACCATCCCCGCAAAGAGCGCAGGGGCTTAATTTAGAGCTGATTTAGGGCTTTAGGACCAACCTTGACAGTCAACTCGACTCTTCAGTCTAGACACCAAATATGTCAACTTCATTCCACTTAGAGAACGCGCCAATAAGCACTGCAATAGTTTCCTGATGAAACACCGATAACTTTTGTTTGCTAAATAGGGGATCACATAGTGTATTTACTACAAATCCCACTCATTATATATTATCATAGTCCTCAGAAGCTGTTATGCATGCTTGCTAATTGAACTGAACTTTTCATGCTTCGTGAAAATGAGATAATTCAGTCAAAAAGTATGTGATAATGGATTCAAACCCTACAAATCCATTCTAACGCTAAGTACCTCCAATTCATTACGAATCCCGTCATGATTTAACAGCATACTAGGTTATATGGTTTTATCATCCCGTATCTCCTGGGATGATATAAATGTTCCATTTTAAGTTTTCGGACAGTTACTCCTATATCCCTGTAGACTGAGTTTTAAAAAGTTTCAACGTCTCAAAAGTATTCGGTGAGTAGGAATAGACACCCTTCAACACATGCTGCGTTACACACACCAGCCTTACCTGTCACGTGGTGTAGAAATTGGACTTGTTAATGTGAGGAGTCTGAGACTTATCGCAATTCTGCCATCCAACACCAGCCTCCGTCACGGTGCACAAATGCAGGCCAGCCATTGGTTCCGGAGGGATTTAACGGCCTGGGATTGGTAGAGGTGGTGTCAGCCAGCGCCGCAGGAGTCAGCATATAATTCTCGTCACGTGGCCCCGTAACAAAACAGCACGTGTCCATTATAGCGGAGACATAAAACAATTCATACTTCTATTCAGTCATTTCCAGGAATAATAACATTCAATTCATTCAGTACCTTATTTGACACGCTATTTTTGGAAAAAATTAAACAGCCGAAAGGAAGTATGGAGGGTTAAACAGGTGGCCCAGGTCATGAGCCGGATCCGTGTCATTGCCTGGTACCAAAGATCCGCTGCGGACATTTAAACATATCCGGCAACTAACTCACAGCATCACCGAGACCGGCCCTCCGTGAACAAATGAACACGGCTTTTTAACTACGCACAGGAATGCTCGCTAACAGACTGGAGCAGCATGACCGACCTTTTGAGTGACAACACCCTCATCAACATCCTGATATCACCCTGGTCTGCCTTAAAGATAACACTCTCATTAATATCCTGATATCACCTGATCTTCAAGATAACACCCTAACTGATATCCCGATATCACCTGATCTTCAAGATAAAACCCTCACTAATATCACCGTGATCTGCCTTCAAGATAAAAACCCTCATTAACATCCAATCTCCCCCAGTATGCCTTCAGGATATCAAGATAACACCCTCTCTAACATCCCAATCTCCCTCAGGTCTGCCTTCAAGAGCACAACAGCTGATCTGAAGATGAACTTGTGTTACCTGTGCGGCAAGACGTACGCGAGACCAAGCACCCTGAAGACACATATGAGGACCCACTCGGGGGAAAAACCCTATAAATGTGATACCTGTAACAAGGGGTTCTCTCAAGCAGCCAACCTCACCGCTCATGTCAGGACCCACACTGGAGACAAACCTTTCAGGTGAGATTAAACATTTCGTAATTAATATTGATGTTGTTACTGGACAGACGACACATTCTTTGTAGGTAACCCCCGCGGTAGATTGCAACTTCTGTTGTAACTATCTATTAAACACCTGTTAAAACGACAAGACAAGGACGACTCATGTAAAAAAGCCATGAAAATTCACTTTGGTTAGGTCTTCTGTTTCCTTCTTTACAAGAGAATTTATCCGTGCTAATGCCCGAGTCGGCATGAGTTGTAGGTAACACATAGTGTACTCGCTATGTAACATGCTTTATTACACATGCCAGGCCGATGTGTCATTGTGTCAGGTTCTAAATCTACATTTCCATTTCGTGCCACTCAGTTAGAACCGACTCACAACTCCCTTCTAATTTTATGACTATATAAGGAAACAATTTATTGATCGTCCTTTGAGCAGACTCAAAATACTCAACTGATGCCCGTGCAGTGGCGTAACGAGGCCCTTCACTGTGCCCATGACGGAAGTTTACGTCTTTACCAGCTACTTTGCTTCTAAAAAGTAAAATTAGAATGATACAAATATTTCAAACGTGAGTTTGGAATTAAGGTTCCCAATTGATGTCCATGCGAACACTTTCTTGACGCCAGCTAGCTGATCTAAGGAACATAAGTCAAAGGGATAGAATTTTACCCTTCAGCTACTAGACTAGCTATGTGCCTTTGTAGTTTGTATATTTTAATGCCTTTGTGTCAAGACCACGGCTGACTAGTTGTCAAAATTTAAATTTTTTCAAATTGCTTGCTCTGAGCAGAATTTTTCCCACCAACAACATGGAAAATAAAATGAGTAAATACAATTAATTGAACTGGCCAACAGATTTAGTGTTTTATTGAATATAAAGAGATTTTGATTGGTCCATGAGCCCACTCCTGACTGGTCTACTAGCTAACCCACAACTAAATAGAGCTAGATCCGCACTACCATAACAACTAGGACATTATATATCTTCTAAGCTTGAGAAGCCGTATGCTGAGCGCTAGAAACCTTGTAAATTGTTTTTATTGTTCAGCAATAACTTGTTAATGTACCACCGAATCCTTACTATATTCCGCTCTCTCCTCCTAAATTGGTAACATCCTAGGGTTCCCTCCCAACCCGGGCTCCATATTAAAACAGATTACAAGTGGTTGAAAACCACGTGTTTTCTGAGAACTGCAAGGTTTCACCTACTCTATTAATTCTAGTTAATTCAGTGCACGCGTCACACCTCAACCCTCAAGCAGTGCCTGTCTATGCAGAGACAAAGCCATACTTTCAGGGAGTCCAGGGAGAAATTTAATAGTCAGCGACCTGATAATGGCTTGAATAGAAGGTAAACTGAACGCTGAGCATTCCCCTGAGTATTGCAGAGTGAGCAGCGACCAGTTTTGCTATCCACTGTGATGTTGTAGCGTGAGAACTGATATCCATTACTTACGGCGCGGTGGAGTCACAATTTCTACACTAACTAGTCCGGGATATTTGAGCACTGAGACTAAGAAGGCTGGTGTTTATCATCACATTTACACTCTGACGAGGAAGTCAATAGTGAACACTCCCCAATGCTTTGAACATATAGTAACTCAGACAGCCTTAAGGCGGACAGTAAACCTATCACTATTCTCTTGCCCTGGTTACAGTAAACCTATCACTATTCTCTTGCCCTGGTTATAGCTCAAGTAGGAGTTTTGTTAGACTCTGGAGCTCTAATCTTGCAAGATTAATCCTTCGATTACCATTAGAAAGTTAGCCAATAATAAAGCAGCAAATAATTCTTATCTGATACTACCAGACTCCCAAATTAGCCATGACTTAGAGTTCAACACCTGAGAACATGGCAGTAAACCTCGCTGCTACCAATAGTCAAGTAGTCTGCAAGCAGATTATATTCAGCTCCGCACGTGCAATCAGCACGTGCAAACAGCCCTTAAAACAGAATTAAAAAGTGCAGGCTTCACCCGGATAGGGCTCGAGATTGGTTAATGAATTTAAATTGGAATAGTGTAGCTGGCTGCTTCACCAACAACTACCACTCTGGTAACCAATGAGGAGACAGAGGGGAGGAAGAGCTAATGATTAAGTGAGCTACTTGTGGGTGGCGTGCCACGTGCAACAACTACAGGAATGAAGGGTCGCTATGGAGATGCACGTGTAGATTGGCTGATATGACAGTGTCACGAGGAGGTTGTGAGATCTGTAACACATGACGGTGTGATCCACAGCAACCCCGGCCTTCACATGCTGACACAGAGTTTCCCCGTATCAACAAGTCCTGACTGTTGGTGCCACCTCGCTCTATCAGTGCTGGTACTTCTCAGCTACTTCCCCAACACGGCTATATACCCACTGAGGATCTTGTGGGAACAGCTATTGGTGACATTATCGGTTGTTAAACATATTTCCCGAGCAAGGAATGCACGTACTGGTAGTAGGTACTGGTTAGTGCGGTGTTACAGCACTGCTGGTGATACTCACCGCCTGACCTGAGAAACAGACAACTTTTAAAAGGGAACTTTTGAAGATGACCTACAGTTTCAAATGTGGCATGAAGCATTACGGCTATATCCGAATATAGCGGGGATATGCTTCTATTAATAGTTTTAGCTGTCCTGAAGTAGTCTACAGAGAGAATGATAACCCGGCACTGCAACTTCTGTTGGAAACTGTTTGAAGTAGCAGGACAATGGTTAGGGTTAACAGTTAGGGTTACTCTGGTTAAGAGGGTAATCATTCAGCGCAACAGGAACGAGGCACATTTCTACTTTTACTGTACGAATAGTCGGACTTCTAAATTAGACCATTGATAAGTTAGAATTAACGTATTTGAGAGCGTTAACATATTTTGAAGCTTTTTTCAGACACTAGATCAGTACGCCCCGTGTCTAGAAGCGACATCACGTGCCATAATTCAATTACTGAGGAAAATTATTTGAAAATAAATACGATAAATCTTATCAAAGACCTTTGGTTAAAATGCTAGATTCACAAATAACATATCTCTGAGCTTCTCCAGATTCTAGTTGCTGAATATTCAGTTAATGTTTGACGAGATGTACATATTATTGTTGATGCCTACTTGTACTTTAGGAGCCCGGAACTATGGAATTAATTGATGATTATTTGCGAGTAGAGCGTATAGACAAGTGTAATCGGGCGAGAAATTAGTTGTCATATAGCATTCTACACGTGATATATAACACTGAGAATAATAACAGGGATATTTGTACTTTAACCAATAAAGGTTTTCAGAGACCAGCTTTAAATTCCATTGAAATTCTAATACCAGCCAGGTGTTTAAAATGATAATGAAAATTCTAATAATCTGAAATGTGGTATTCAGTATTGTCTTGTTTCATTGTTGCATAATGAAAGGTAGTGCGAATTAGCCTCGCACCAGGCACACGATGGCGAGGTCATTGAGCCCGCCACTACAGAAGCCTTATCAAGTCTAGTATGGATACTCAGCGGGTACGTAGTGCGATACTCAGCGGTCACTAACACAATTACTGTTCGGTTATCGGTTTCTTTCTTTAGAAGGGTTCACACGGTCCCTGGGTATTGTGCATGATCGCGTCCAGACGCGTCCAGGTTAGGGACTAGGTTCATGTGAACTCAGAGTTATGTGAAATAAGAGTCCTGTACAAATAGCAGTTATCTACAACTAGAGGTGAGAAGGTGATGAAGTCTCACTTACAGTCACAGATCTTTAGTTTACAAAAAAAGCGCTGTTCAAATAGGATTTACAAACGGTTTCCCACAGACTTGAAAATTGGCTCGCGACATGTGTCCGATATATTGGAACCATTAATAATAAGCGATAACATTGGACAACGCCTACAATAATACGTGCTAGACATCATAATGATAGCGAGGAAATCTTCCAAAACATTCTGACAGCCACAAACTGGACTGATGTAGAATATACGACAATTCTTACTTAAAATGACTATTGAAATGTTTTTCTTTACCGTTGACAACAGTTTTAATAACGCGTAACTGTTTCAGGTGCCCAGTGTGTGACAGAAGGTTCTCCCAATCCTCCTCTGTAACCACCCACATGAGGACACACTCTGGGGAGCGTCCCTACAAGTGCAAGGTAAACTAAACTTACATTATACTACAACATTTCCTCAACTAGTTTTAGAGATCTTTGTACTAAAAAACAGAATATTTGATTGAACAATACAGTAATACTTATTAAGTATAACAAAGAAGGAGAATACAATGCTTTTCTCCTGTATTAAACAAGAGTTATAATCCTTTATTATAATCCTCTTAACCCTGCAGGTTTGTCACAAGGCCTTCAGCGATACCTCCACACTTACTAAACACATACGGGTACACAGCGGGGAAAAACCTTACCGGTGTACCGTCTGTCACTTACGGTGAGTTGAAATAGAAATAGGGTGGAGGTGATTAACTCAGTATTACCATGGTAACTAGCAGTGTTACTATGGTAACACTGGTGATTAACTCAGTATTACCATTGTGTTGTATTTTCAATAACATGATTGATTTAATAACAAGTAATCAACTGTTAATTAACTGTCCTTCTAACCACACATTCACTCCAGGTTCAGCCAAAGTGGCAACCTAAACAGACACATGCGGACCCACAAGGAGCAGAATGGGACCCACCAAGGCCCCTACGTCACTAAGGACCTGTCCCGATCAGTGAGCCCCTACCTCCCTGACCCCACCAGACTCAGGGACTGGACTAAAGAGGGCCCCAAAATCTACTGAGCAACTTATTCCTGGTACTCCAGACAACGCACCGATATTCATGTGACAAAGAGAGCACTTGTTAGATGATCACCCCCACCAAGGAAAGGTCCATTTTTATCTAGGCTTACCAAATGTTGTGGAGGTCCTTGATTGTAGCCAGATAGGAGCCGATAACGAAATCGCCATGGACAACAATTAACTGATAACGTTAAGTTAACTGATAACGAGGACTAAAACAAACTGTGACTTATTATTGTAATAACTTTGTAGTATAACGTATTTGTTTTTATTTTATGGTTAATTATGACTAGAATAGTTAATAATTATAAAAGTGTATTCTTGTTTTGTTAACTTAGATAATAACTTTTAAATATTGACAGTTTAATGTGTGTATAACTTTGTACCCTTATCAAGTAGCAGAGTAGTTCAGTGCATTCTAAATACCTCCCTCTGCAAGCAATCCCTCCCTCCGCAAGCAACCCTCCCTTATCAAGTAGCAGAGTAGCTCAGTGTCAGTGCATTCTAAATACCTCCCTCTGCAAGCAATCCCTCCCTTATCAAGTAGCAGAGTAGTTCAGTGTCAGTGCATTCTATCTCCCTCCCTCTGCAAGCAATCCCTCCCTCCGCAAGCAACCCTTCATTATCAAGTAGCAGAGTGGCTCAGTACATTCTAACTCCCTCCCTCTGCAAGCAATCCCTCCCTCTGCAAGCAATCCCTCCCTTATCAAGTAGCAGAGTAGCTCAGTGCATTCTATCTCCGTCCCTCTGCAAGCAATCCCTCCCTCCGCAAGCAACCCTTCATTATCAAGTAGCAGAGTAGTTCAGTGTCAGTGCATTCTATCTCCCTCCCTCTGCAAGCAATCCCTCCCTCCGCAAGCAACCCTTCATTATCAAGTCGCAGAGTGGCTCAGTACATTCTAACTCCCTCCCTCTGCAAGCAATCCCTCCCTCCGCAAGCAATCCCTCCCTTATCAAGTAGCAGAGTAGCTCAGTGCATTCTAACTCCCTCCCTCCGCAAGCAACCTCCCTCCGCAAGACTGCCCAGTTTAGCAGGCTTGTCACATGTCAGTTAGCTGGCACGCTGGGGTGGGCGCCTCACGACTGGCCGCGTGTCTCTCCCTTCTTAGTGGGCTGAGTCTTGCAAACCTAATTGAAAGGTTAAATCCTATAATTGATAAACGGCGGTGTTGATCCTTCAAAATACGGGCTGCTGTTGTATGGGGGAGATACTGTAGGAGATATAATATAGTACTAATAATAGTATACTAATAATAGTAGAGTAAAGATGACACGTCAACCCCCTGCAGGTGAGGAAGTGAGAAAGATAATCTGAGGGTAAAACTTTGGATTTCCGGGGATTGTGTGAAAGAGGAAATTTAAAAAGTACTTCTGAATTTCGAAAAATTTTGAAATGAAATGTTAGTTGTATGATAGGTGAATTGTATAGTATATATGTGAATTGTATAGTATATATAGTGTATTGTACAGTATATATAGTGTATAGTGTGTATACACATGTATAGTATATAGTGTGTATGGTGTGTATAGTATACACATGTATAGTGTGTAGTATACTGTGTGTATGGTATACACATGTATAGTGTATAGTATACACATGTATAGTGTATAGTGTGTATACACTGCACATGTATAGTGTGCACTAGTAGTATATTGTATATTGTATAGTGTATTTGACCAAAACCCATAATCATGGGTAGAGTGTACCGCTGCCAGTGTCTCTCTTTTCCAAACAAAAGGAAATGATATAAATTTGAGGAACAGTCCGCTAATGCAAATTGATACCGAGAATGAAATCGGTCGCTCGCTTTTTCAAATCAATAAGCTTTATTACAATTCGTGAGCCGTGATCGAATGGAAAAAGCGAGCGACCGATTTCATTCTCGGTATCAATTTGCATTAGCGGACTGTCCCTCAAATTTATATCATTTCCTTTTGTTTGGAAAAGAGAGACACTGGCAGCGGTACACTCTACCCATGATTATGGGTTTTGGTCAAATATCATCTCTTTTTGATTATAATGTCAGGATAATTTACACAGCTAGTCGAAACTTCATAAACAAGGAGGTAATTTCGACGATTTCGAAATTCTGCCTTTGAAAACGTTTCCTTGTGTTTAGTTAGGTATATCTGTCGATAACAGACTGAATATGGCACTTTTTACTCATTCAAGTTGGCATTAAATTCATATATAATGCCATTTAAATATCGTGGAAAGCAGAATATATTCGAAATCACGAATGAGCAAAATTCTCACCTTTCGCACGTGCAAACTTTGAGCGGACGTTGCGTGCGCATACAATATTGAATCACCGTAAATTTTTGCATAGTGGTATTTAATATATAGTTTGATAAGCATGCAAAGTTTCAGAAGATTTCAAAAAGAACTTGGATCACAACGGGACTCCAAAGTTGATAAAAATCGTGAAAATCAAAATTTTTTAGTGATTTTAGCTATTTTAAATCAATTTGGGCGTGTCCCCACGTGTGCAACTTTTCGATTTTTAACTTTAAAACTAGCCTATAACACAATTTACACCTTTAAGAAGCAAAATTGAGCTCCACAACCCAAGGGATGGCCCAACACCAGAGAATACTAATTCACAACTTTTGTGTTTTTATAAAATTATTCTTCAAAAAATCACTAACTTCAATAGCAAATATCTTTATGAAGGAGTAAGGTAGGAAACTTTTCCGGTAGATTTTCAGAATGCTTGAACAATTATCTAAGGTGAAAATGTCCTCAGATTTTGAATAAAATTACTCCTTAATGGTTTAAAATCGATTTGAAAAGTTGTTATTTTGTCAAAAATCAAGTTTTAAAAACACTTAAATTGATGACGTCATCAAGTGATGATGATGATGATAAATTATTTTTCAATATAAAGTAAACTAAAGTATAAACGATTATCTTTAAAACCTGTGGTTCGAAATGACTGTATCTTTTGTACTTTTGAATCTACGGACACTTAAATGTAGGCTACAATTGACTGCAAAAAGCGTCTATACATATTATTATTATATATATATATATTTGACTAAAACCCATAATCATGGGTAGAGTGTACCGCTGCCAGTGTCTATCTTTTCCAAACAAAAGGAAATGATATTAATTTGAGGAACCGTCCGCTAATGCAAATTGAAACCGAGAATGAAATCGGTCGCTCGCTTTTCCCATTTATTCACAGCTTACGAATTGTAATATAATAAAGCTTATTAAATGGGAAAAGCGAGCGACCGATTTCATTCTCGGTTTCAATTTGCATTAGCGGACGGTTCCTCAAATTAATATCATTTCCTTTTGTTTGGAAAAGATAGACACTGGCAGCGGTACACTCTACCCATGATTATGGGTTTTAGTCAAATATCATCTCTTTTTGATTATAATGTCAGGATAATTTACACAGTCGAAACTTCATTAATAAGGAGGTAATTTCAACGATTTCGAAATTCTGCCTTTGAAAACGTTTCCTTGTGTTTAGGTAGGTATATCTGTCGATAACCGACTGAATATGGCACTTTTTACTCATTCAAGTTGGCATTAAATTCATATATAATAATGCCATTTAAATATCGTGGAAAGCAGAATATATTCGAAATCACGAATGAGCAAAATTCTCACCTTTCGCACGTGCAATCTTTGAGCGGACGTTGCATGCGCATAAAATATTGAATCACCGTAAAATTTTGCATAGTGGTATTTAATATATAGTTTGATAAGCATGCAAAGTTTCAGAAGATTTCAAAAAGAACTTGGATCCCAAGGGGACTCCAAAGTTGATAAAAATCGTGAAAATCAAAATTTTTAGTGATTTTAGCTATTTTAAATCAATTTGGGCGTGTCCCCACGTGTGCAACTTTTCGATTTTTAACTTTAAAACTAGCCTATAACACAATTTACACCTTTAAGAAGCAAAATTGAGCTCCACAACCCAAGGGATGGCCCAACACCAGAGAATACTAATTCACAACTTTTGTGTTTTTATAAAATTATTCTTTAAAAAAGCACTAACTTCAAAAGCAAATATCTTAATGAAGGAGCAAGGTAGGAAACTTTTCCGGTAGATTTTTGGAATGCTTGAACAATTATCTAAGGTGATAATGTCCTCAGATTTTGAATATAATTACTCCTTAATGTGGTAAAATCGATTTGAAAAGTTGTTACTTTGTCAAAAATCAAGTTTTAAAAACACTTAATTTGATGACGTCATCAAGTGATGATGATGACGTTAAATTATTTTTCAATACAATGTAAACTGAAGTTTAAACGATTATCTTTAAAACCTGTGGTTCGAGATGACTGTATCGTTTATACTTTTGGATCTACGGACACTTAAATGTAGGCTACAATTGACTGCCAATTGACTGCCAAAGCGTCTATATTATATAATATATATATATGCTTCACGACAATCTGTTGTAAAACAGGGGTTCCAGAAAACCCACTTGCCGATACTGCTGAAACATGAAATTTTTTTTACAGTCGATTTGGACAAGGTCTAGACGCCCTGCAAAGTTTCAGATCTCTAACTCAATTTTAACACGGTTTTTAAGGCACCTGAATATGGCGATTTTGGGTTTTTTACCTAATTTCGTATAACATGCTGGCGCGTATTTTGCGCAAATTTCTTAAAAACCTCCACATAACTATTTCTTATTCCTGTCATCTTTAACATTGAATTAGAATGTTTTTAACTTTAATATACCTGCTGAACTACTTTCGATGAGTCTTAATGCCTGGAAAACAATAAAGGGGATATAATAGTATAGGGGGTAAATAGTATTGTGAATATAAGGGCGACGGTAATGCTTGCCAGCATTGTGATCTTCACGACAATCTGTTGTAAAACAGGGGTTCCAGAAAACCCACTTCCCGATACTCCTGAAACATGAAATTTTTTTCACTGTCGATTTGGACAAGGTCTAGACGCCCTGCAAAGTTTCAGATCTCTAACTCAATTTTAACATGGTTTTTAAGGCACCTGAATATGGCGATTTTGGGTTTTTTACCTAATTTCGTATAACATGCTGGCGCGAATTTTGCGAAAATTTCTTAAAAACCTCCATATAACTATTTCTTATTCCTGTCATCTTTAACATTGAATTAGAATGATTTGAACTTAAATGTATCTGCTGAACTACTTTCGAAAGAGTTTTAATACCTGGAAAACAATAAAGGGGATATAATAGTATAGGGGGTAAATAGTATTGTGAATATAAGGGCGACGGTAATGCTTGCCAGCATTGTGATAATAGTGTATATTGCGTATAGTATACACATGTATACTGTATAGTGTATACTTCGCCCATTTTGGGGTATAATTTACTGGGCTTTGACTGGTTGAAAGTCGAAAACCCGCGAGCCACAGAGGCACAGATAATTTGTATCTGCGAGGAAATTTTAAACGTTCTGGATGTGGGACCATCAGTCTTCTGATGTGTCGCTATGACATCAGTACGATATTATTACTACATGGTAAAATTAGCACGTCAAATTTGCTCTTGCCAGGCAGTACGCTGAATTTAAAGGAACAATGTAAAGTAGTCTCTTCTTATTATTATTATATGTTTAAACTCCTGTAACCCCCTCAACACTCCCTGGTAACCTCTGGTAACCCCTGGTAACCACCGCAACACACTCCCTGGTAACCCCCTCAACACTCCCTGGTAACCCCTGGTAACCACTTCAACACTCCCTGGTAACCCTGGGTAACCCCTGGTAACCCCTGGCCCTGGTAACCACCTCAACACTCCCTGGTAACCCCATCAACACTCCCTGGTAACCCCTGGTAACCCCTGGTAACCCCCTCAACACTCCCTGGTAACCCCCTCAATACTCCCTGGTAACCCCTGGTAACCCCCTCTACACTCCCTGGTAACCCTGGAAACCCCTGGTAACCCCCTCAATACTCCCTGGTAACCCCCTCAACACTCCCTGGTAACCCTGGTAACCCCTGGTAACCCCCTCAACACTCCCTGGTAACCCCTGGTAACCCCCTCAATACTCCCTGGTAACCCCTGGTAACCCCCTCAACACTCCCTGGTAACCATGGTAACCCCCTCAACACTCCCTGGTAACCCTGGTAACCCCCTCAACACTCCCTGGTAACCCTGGAAACCCCATGGTAACCCCTGTGCCCTGGGTTCTGAAATACCACATACTGAACACAAACTTGACAGTTGAAATATTTAATAACCGAGCCAGAGAACTTTATCAAAAACTGTTAATTGTAAATCACATCGAACTGGGCGGTGAAAAACATTGTTAAAATATACTGAGTCATGATAAAAGGATAGTATTTTAGTAATATGGGATATGGGGGGGGGGGGGGGGGGGGTACCAGTTTGTGAAAATGTAGAATAGTACCGCTGAGGTTTGGGAGGCAGCATCCCTGCATCATAGGAGGTCCCCTACATCTTGAACCTGCTCTCCAGTACTGCATATTGTTCCTTCATCAACTAACATTTAACGCTAAATTACACATGGTCATATATTGCCCGCTGGATCAATGAAAGTCATCAAATCGTATTTCCCAGGAAATTTGGAATACTCATGTTATGTGTAACTAATAATTTCCCAGGAGAATCGTGTCAGTAACCAGAGTTCGGACAAATCATGGCATCCTAAAAATGAAGCGTCATCTATACTACTATCATACTTATTTTATTTCGGTTTATCCAAGCTGTGAACTGTCATATGGTTATATTGTAACAGGCCACATCTCGATATGTTCCCAGTACTGAATAACGAAAAATACTGAATAATAGAAAAGTGAAATGAGTACCTGAAGTGCCAGAATGGTTGCAACCACGTGACTACCTCACTGTTCTATAAGGGTCCTCCGCAAGCAACCCTCCCTCAGGCAGGGTCCTCCGCAAGCAACCCTCCCTCAGGCAGGGTCCTCCGCAAGCAACCCTCCCTCAGGCAGGGTCCTCCGCAAGCAACCCTCCCTCAGGCAGGGTCCTCCGCAAGCAACTCTCCCTCAGGCAGGGTCCTAGCTTCTGTTCATACAATCATCCTAAAATACTGTTTTAACGTTATTTCCTGCGTTATTGAGATAATATTTAGTGTAAAATAACTAATTGTTATACAATCCAGAGTAGCGGGCACTGTGTTAAAGGCACAGTATTGAAATAGGGAAGTTATGGAAATTGAACTGACACGTGCAATTAAGCGCGTCGATAAGAAAGCAATGTAACCATTACCACCATTTCATTACGCGACGTTTCACTGTAAGAGTGTTTTCATTTTCTATACATGTTTGAAGGACAGTAAAAACTCTACAGAAAGTGAGCACAGTTCACTCATTTCAGTCGTGTGATATTTCCCGTTTAAGCGCACTTTCTCTGCCAGTGCCCCACTTCCAGAGGATCAGTAGTCAATCCACCGCGAGTATATAAATTATACTAACACCTTCAACAATGTGCTCTTAAATAAGGGTCTGTCTGTGTGTCTGCATATCACTCCCAGACTCGCGAGAACGCGGTATTTCACTATTTACGGTATTTAAAGGAGAGACATATCATAAATTTCTAAATTAAGATATTGACATCGACGTCATAATGAGACCTTGAATTGATATCAGACAGACCACCACTAGTAGTAGCCAGTAGTAACCACTAGTAGCCAGTAGTAATAGGGCCCTGTTAAGATTTACCAGGACTACAGGGCTGCTCTGCTTTATGGAAGTGAAGTAGTCGGTACAAGACTAAGAAGCCAGGACTACAGGGCTGCACTGCTTAATGGAAGTGAAGTAGTCGGTACAAGACTAAGGAGCTGATAAGAAGTTAGGGCACACAATTATAAGAAATTAGATAAAATATAAAAATTCGAAATGGCCATGTGATTGTGACAAGCACGCACGTTTATTAATTCTAAACTTGCTCGACCCATTCTCACAGAAGATACCAGAAGGAAGACGCAGCTATTAAGGATGTTTAGGAAGATGACCTGGGTGATTGGTAAAATTTACAACTTTGATAGTAGGCAAAAATTTCAACTTTGCTTCTCTCGACCTTGTTTGGTCTGTAACTTCGTCATCTATTGTTTAATTATAAAATCTTCTTGTATGGATTATCAATAATGTTCAGTAAAAAAATCAGCCAAAAAACTTTTAAAATGACTGAAATATCGGTATTACTGATTACAGTGACAGACTTCTCAAAATTGAAAAAACTTTCCAAAAAGAAATTTTTTTTTCGAAAGTGCGTACTCTCAAAAAATTTTTCGATGCATCAAATCTTATTATATATTATATTGTTTTATTATATATTATATTTTTTTTATCTATACTTTTATAATATGAAGTCAAATCCCGAATCTCGGCAAAAAAGGTTTTGGTGTATTCCCCGTTAATGGGTGGCAAGTCCCCCCCCCCCCCCCCCCCAGCCCGCCAGTTTACTGACTCACATATTATCACTGACGGAGAGGAAGGGGGTTTCTAAATGATTACGCTAGTGTAATTTTAACACAATAGCTATGTGTAAAACTGATTACGCCAGTGTAATTTTAACACAATAGCTATGTGTGAAACTGATTACGGAGGGGTGTTAAAATTTGCTAAAAAGTGATTTTGTCATAATATGTGAAGTGTGAACAACCCCTAACTTGTTAGAGAACGATATAATATTTGATAGTTAAGCGCTTTAAATGTCACTCCGTGTTGTAGCTATCACGTGTCCTCCGCAAGCAACCCTCACGTAAATACAAACTATAAAATTAAAACTATAACTATAGGTAGACTACCAATAACTTTAGGTTCACTTTCCAACAGACCCACTTGCACTCAGCGTTGCGGAATTAGTTCTCCTTTCCAATTTCATGGCAGTATTTCTGGCTATTAATAGTTTACCCACGCAGATGCTAGAGTGTTTCAGTCGAATAAGACGCAATGTATCATATTGTAAAAGCAATAAATTAAAGAACTCAATTTCTAGGTCTAAACACAACATAGAAAAGTAAAAACATTAAGATCCCCTTTTTCTAATTTTGACTATCAGACCTCGGAGTGGGCTTGGTAAAGAAGTCGTAATAGCTGCGCTTAGCAACAACAATATAAAGGGTTTTTAAATTGTGTAAAACTTAGAAAAATAAATATTGTCGAATCCGCTCAAACACTTAAAACAATGTTTTTGTCAAGACTTTTAACGCAAACGAACCAAAACTTTACTTTCTCAAACGATAACTCGAACCTCGAGTACTTTTTACTGGTTGTTCTATACATTTGTTAGCTGCTAGTGGTTGTAATTTTACAGTTATTTAATGAGGTTTTTGTATCATACATGGCAGATTAAGACGGAAAGTGTTTTACCCACCAGATCAACTTCGATCAGCAGATTTGTCAGAACACTCAGGCAGCTCCATATTTCGTGGAATCCTAAAAATGATATGGTCCTTTGTTGTCAACAACACTTCCCCTTTAGTTAAGATCTGATTCTTACTGAGAACCCCGATACTTTTGATTGGTTGGATACGTTTAGGGGGGCTAGTTTTAGAGTCTGAGGAGCGTTTTAAGGAGCTACTGGGTCCGTTTAGAGGCAACAATCGCACAGTAGGTATGTTAGCTGCTGAAACTCTGGGCACTGCTGCGAAGGAGTCGTGCTGCACACCTGCTTTCACTATCTCAGGTGGTTTTAGTGGGGATCTGGGTAATGAGAGAGGTTTGGAGAGTTCTTGCTTAAGCAGACCTGATTCTTGGGGTCCTGACAATTCCTTCTTCAAAACAGGATCCTCGGTTCCCCCGTTTGTTGATTTTCTTTTAGGATATATTACAGATTTACCGTCACGAATCTTACGCCAGGACATCCCATCGTTGGGTAATATCTCACTAGAATCTGATATTATCTGTGCGACTAACGTTTTCCGCTTACCCGATCCTGCTTTCAATGAGGGATGGTTGCTTGCGGAGGATCCTGCTTTCAATTTGAGTCCTCCTGAAACATGAACTGTCTTAGTCTCCACCGGCCTCGTCTCGCACTCTTGAGCAGGTTTGACAGGCTCAGGACTGGTAGACTCGTTCTTAACGTTCCCCTCACACGTTGCAGCTAATGTCGGTAATGAAGATGAGGGAGGGTTGCTTGCGGGGGCATTTTGCTTGTTTTTAGAATGGTTCAGCCTTGCTCGTCTTCTCTTTGGGGGACCAGAAGGTGATGGTTCGGGCGAAGCTTCAGAACTCTCTTCAGATTTAATTTTGGATTTGAAATATCTGTCAGACCTGTATCGTCGGTTCCACTGACTACCAAACGCACTCAACATCTTTTGGGGAATGAAATAATACAAGCCTGCATAATCCTTAATCATAGAAACATGTTTCATCCTATAAGTTTTACTCTCGTAGGAAAGGTAACCATCAACACCAAATATGGAAAAGCTGACATCAGCCTTCTCTTCTAAACACTCGATAGTGTCGGTTTCTTCAATGCTGTGCCGTTCCATGAATTGCCACTTCAACCGTGATCCAACACCCCTATCCAATCTTTGCATGTTCGTAAATTTGTTGTACATTACTTTTCTTGTTTCTTTATCCATGGTATGTTGCTCCTGATTAGACAGATTTTATTAGGAACAAATAAACTCAGTACAGTAATTAAATAGAGAGAAAAAAAAAACTGAACTAAAAAGCCGGGCACACACTTTATATGGTCAACTACCATCATATTGCTACACTAACCTCGAAATCGAACTTTTCTCTCATCTCATAAACCGCCAGGGTTCTCAGAATATCCCCGCCTTTAATGACGGAACGTTTTGCAAACACGTCGCTAGATTGGAATACTTTAATGGACCCTTCGTTCTCCATTCTTATTATACGAAGGTAAGTTCCCGGTTTTAAACGAGAAACATTGTCCTGTAACAATGATCTGTCAATACAAACCATTGGGATCGTCCTGTTAACGTGGGATTGCCTGTGAAGTAAGGAGCGTTTTAGTGAAATCTAGAGTTGCAATATTCCATCAATTTCTTTACCCATGAAAATGTAATTTTCTGATTTACAAATCACATATTATATGGTCAGTGCGTAATGTTCAAGACCAAGGCACTCAAAATTTCTCTCGCTGGTTTTGGAAAATACCTGAATATCCCTGATTTATCTACGACACGGATGACACAGGCGTCGGTGCAGTGCATGTCCCTTCTGAATATAGATATCAAGTTGTCGTTAATCTTGGTAGAGGATATTTCCAACATGCTCTTACGATGGCAGGGTCCCCGGCCCTTGGAACTTGGTTCCTCTTTAAGCCATGTGTTCAAGGGTTTTGTATCTTTTCGCGTCATGGTGTTCAGTTTCTGACAGGATATTTGAGGCTGTTCTGGTCTACGGGGTCCTGAGAAAATTGACTTCAGTCATTAATAGGAGGTAAAAGAAGGGTAGTAATAAATAATCAGCAGATCGAACATTGATGGGATTCGAATACAGCACCCTAGTTCCTAGGAAACCGCTTTCGTTTTCGCTGGCGCAAAAGCGTTCTATAATTTCACTGGCGGGTAAGTCGCGCAAACATATTGCTGCGAAGTAATGTGTTTTCTATAAGAAATGCGCTCTAAATTAACAAAGCCAACTTTTTTATCACTCTACGGCGCGCAGCAGGGCGCGTTACACGCACTGACAGTATATTCGTGCCAGCCAGTTGCGGATCCAGTGTCAGTGATAATTCTAGTTAACTTACCATATCACATAATAGAGTCTATCAGATCATTTAAAATATTCAAATAAAAAGTAGTATCTCACCGACAGGCTGAATATCGTCAGCACTGTTTAGCTGTGAATCATTTTCATACGTGTTCAGCAGATTCTCCACGTGGCCTGCCAAAAGTAATGTTATCAACACTG